GTAACCAAATATCCCAAACTCTCATCTGGCACTCACAGTATGAATGTAAGGGATCTGTATCTAAATGTAGATATTTGGATATTGATTATAGTGTGTGCAAGCCAATATCAGGAGAGTCTAAATGTTTTGATCCCCATTTCCAACCCCGTACAATTTGGTTGGTAATTCGGAATAGTAACTCCCAGGGGACATTAATAAATAGGACTGTGATAAGCACCATACATTCCGCGGGTATTCTACTATTTGATGCATGTAAGGCGATTTCGGGTAGTGGAAGACTTTGGAATGTATGTGGTAATCTTAAATGGGAACGAACTTATGGGTTTAATGATAAATACTTATGTCCCAGTAAAAGATCTACTGATCCTGATTGCCCAAATAGAGACTAACTTCTGCCCCTATTGGTCATGTGTAGGTTGGGCAACCTGGGAAAAACAGTGGATCAAGATATGATTATCCAAAGGTTGCCTACCACACCATACTGTAAAACTATGTGTGTAACCCCGTTCACATGACCATTTCCAATCTGCAGTACTTTATTGACAGGTTTGGAGGTCTGTTTGGGTTCCAAATATATGGCACAGGAGTAAATTCAGGAACAATAATATATGTAGGTCTTGAAACTGAGACAGTGGCAACTCAAACTCATCAGGTTTCTCATTCCTTCTATGAGGAGATGAGTATTGAGGATAAAATTCCCCATAATGTTAACAACCTATTTATTGATTTGGCTGAGGGTATTGCAGGTAGTCTTAATGTAACTAATTGCTATGTGTGTGGAGGTACTAATATGGGAGACCAGTGGCCATGGGAGGCAAAGGAAATATGGTACCCTGGCTCTGAGACATATGAACAACAGATACCTTTCCAGTCTGATCATCAAGTAAGTACTAGAAGTAAATTGGAATGGTGGTTAAAAACCTCCATTATAGGTCATGTTTGTATAGCCAGGAAAGGGACAATGTATAACACGTCTGTAGGTGAGCTAACGTGCTTGGGACAAAAAGCCTATAATGTTAATACTAAAAATACTACTTGGTGGTCAGCTTCAAATGTCTCAGAACCATCTAACCCGTTTGCAAGATATGCCAATTTAAAGGACGTATGGTTTGATCTATCCATCACATCTAACTGGAGAGCCCCAGCGAATTTGTACTGGATCTGTGGTAAGAAGGCCTATTCAGAGTTACCACAAGATTGGGAAGGGGCATGTGTATTAGGTATGCCAAAGCCATCTTTCTTCTTGTTGCCTATTGAAACAGGTGAGACTTTAGGTGTTAAAGTGTATGATGTGAATCATAGGAAGAAAAGGGGACCCATAGAGATAGGTGCCTGGGAAGATAATGAATGGCCTCCCCAGCATATTATAGATTATTATGGGCCAGCCACGTGGGCAGAGGATGGTACCTTTGGTTATAGAACCCCTATTTATATGCTCAACCGCATTATAAGGTTACAGGCGGTGGTTGAGATCATTACTAACGAGACATCACAAGCGCTCAATCTTCTAGCGAAGCATAATACCAGGATGAGGACAGCAGTTTACCAAAATAGATTAGCCTTGGATTATCTTTTGGCAGTAGAGGGAGGTGTATGTGGGAAGTTTAACCTGAGCAATTGCTGTCTTCAAATAGATGACGAAGGGCAAGCAATAGCTGAACTTACAAGCCACATGGTTAAACTAGCGCATGTGCCTACTCAGGTATGGAAAGGGTACAATCCAAGTAGTTGGTTTGGTAGCTGGTATGAGTGGTTTGGAGGGCTTAAGGCAGTGGTAGGTGGAGTCCTACTGATTTTAATGTTGTGTCTACTCCTGCCGTGTCTTATACCCTTAGTAGTTAGGTCTGTGCAAAGCCTGATAGAAAATATAGCAGAGAGGAAGGCTGCTGCACAGATAATGGCAATTTATAAATATAAGGCTCTAGATCAGGGAGAACCAATGCAGGAAGACGAGTGTTGAAGATTCACATCATAGGATAAGTCTGGTCTGGTTCAAAGGTAACTTGTGGTGTATGCAAACCAAGGTTAAGTGATGCCTCAAGTAATTGTAAAATATCAAGAGGCATCAAAGGGGGGAATGTGGTGGAATCTCGGTAAAAATAAATTTAGTAGGCCAAAATCTCCATGTGGCATATGTGTATGTTGTGTCAGTTGGTTAGCTACATGTAGCTAGGATACTGTCATCAGTGTACTGAGCATGTGCAGGAATGCAGGAACTGAAATTGCACTTATTTCCTTTGTCTTGGATGAGCCATGTGGTTTGACTAGATGTACAAGTCTATATTCTGCTCATTGATTGGTTAAAGGTATATGTGGGTGTAGCTATTAATGGGAGGAGTTATGTGCCTATATAGGGAGCCTGCACTATTGTTCAGGGCTCAGAACTTGCTGTATTTTTGGTGACATTAGTCCCTCTGAGTCCCGATCGGTGATCCAATAAAGAATCTCTTCCTTCCTGAAGAAACCTGTGTCCATCCCTCTGTGCTTTGCTTCCGTCAGTTTCTCCGGTATCAGTTTAATGAGAATTCTTCGCAAGGCATGTGCTCTGAGCAACACCTGCCTCTTGAGTTTATCTCAACGAAGCTAAAGAACACGAAAGTAACAGTTATCTGATTGAAAACCAGGAGGTGTAATAAGGTTAATTTATAAAGGTGCTAATTTCTATTAAAATCTTTACTTGATATAAAAGAGGACACACTCTTCACACATAACGCATATCAGCAATCTAAAGCTCTTTAAGGATCCGGGGTATCCCTCTAACATTAGGTTAAATTTGTACATACACTCTGACTGTTTTTATCTCTCTAAAAACATAACTTCCTTCTGTCCTCATGTGGCAGCATGTGCATATCTCCTTTTCTGCTACATTCATTACATCCACCTCTTATTCTGTCCCAGGCTGCAAGGAGCTAGCTGCTGCCTGCTAGTAAGAAGGGAAAGAGTCCTTAGAAGAGAGGACTTAGATGTGGGCCTTGTAGGATAGACAGATGTTAGTATGACATGAGACCATTGACATAGAGCATTGTACACTTAAAATGCCTCCTGCAAGTGTCTCTCTACTAGATACAAAGACATTCCGCAGGTACCAAAGTTTTAGTATTTTCCAACCCTCCAAAATGTCGCTATTTAGGAGTGACAGCCCCTATTTTAGGCCCATATCAAACTGTCCCTCTTCTCTATCCTAATGTTTCTCTTTCATAGGGAGCTTCATGTTGTTGGTGTGTGATGGGAAATGAAATGTTTTACCTATGCAATGCTTAGTGAATATTCCCCTAAACATACAGAGCTATTGTAAACAAGTAAACTTGCAGAAGCCAGACACAGAGAGATGGATGCAGATTTTCAGGAAGTAAGAGGTCTTTATTAACATACCAATCGGGTCTCAGATGAACTAACCAAAACAGGTCTGAGGGCCGAACACATGGAGTACATGCTTTTTATAGAACTATAACTCATCCCATTAATAGCTTCACCCGCACATAACCTTAACCGATCAGTGGACAGGATTTGGATTTCCTGATATGGGCACCACATGGCTCATCTGAAACAAAGGAGAAAAGAGTGTGATTTCAGTTCCTGCATTCCTGCACATGCTCAGTACATTGATGACAGTATCTTAGCTACGTGTAACTAACTGATACAACATACACATATGCCACGTGGAAATCTCGGCCTACTAAATTTACATTTCACCGAAATTCAATCACACTATAAATAAATATATATCAACCAATGAATGTATTGCATAATGAGACATGGATTTAATAACATATATTATCCTGTATCTACAGATATCTGGACAGGCCCTCCTTGATGGTTCTGTTGGTGGAAGATGGCAGGGGAATAGAGGTGAAGCTATATTTAAAGTCCCACAGGTATAACTAGTATACCTGGATATACCTTGCCTAACAATCTCACCTGCAGTTCCAGAAGAGGGGACTTGTCATAGATACACGTAAATAACGGGTTAAAAGTTGTTGCCTTAGTTAAGTCTTTCCACGTCTGCAGGGGTTAAAAGTAAGACTTTTTCTCTCCTAGCTCCTGTCTGCAAATCTGTTGCAGTTGCCTCACTTTACTTTCCCATTAAAGAACCTTGCATATTTTAGATAAGATGTGCTATACATGCGCATTAGACTAACAGCAATACATAATGTACTTCATACTGACTGGCGTGCATTGATTGTTCCCTGCAGTAAACATATACAGAGACAAGGAACGCATAATGTGTTAGTGCCTAAGTCCATTGCAGCGTAAGGGTTTCAGACCCTGTAAAATTTTGCAGCCAAACAGTGTGTCTGAGTGTTTAACAGAGCTCCACAGCAATGACACTCACAGCGTCCCGCTTTGTCTATTTTAAATGTTTGGAGGTATGATTTCCTCTATACAGTTCTGTAATAATTAGGCCCATCATAATTGTCAGAAGCAGGCCCAGTAAGCTCTCATTCATGCACTTCGGCAAGTGATACATGAGATAAAAGACACACCGGAGGCCTTGTGATGTGGAGTTCATATTCTGTGATGTTGAAACACTTGGGGAACTCGTGTCTTAGGGACGTATGTTTGAATACAATTGACACTGATAATGTGGAAATATTAATTCTGCATTTTCATTTCAAGATGGGGGCAGTCCTCTTCGCTGGGTTTATGTCGAAATTATATGAAAGCCAGGCACACGGCCATGGCACGCTAGGCAGTATAACTATTACCGCATGCCGCAACGGTTATGGTGCTTAGACCAAGCTAACGCCAGCTAAGCTAACCCTAAATCAATATTATTCTGCTGGCTGATGAGATTTATTTATTATAGCCTACTGTATGTAAAACAGCTATCTGCCTCTATTAATAAACCTCTAACTGGTTACAGGAAATTAATTAAACTAATTATGTTTTGCAATAGCTATGAACTATTATCAATGTGTAAAGATTTGTTGTCTCTAACATAGGATCCATTTCCTCGGAGATCACAGTATAGGTCTGTCATAAACGTGGACTCCAGGAAGATGGCCGCCAGGCCCGTATTGTAGTAAAAGAACTGGGGACACCAACATCCTGCGACGTGTACGCGCAAGCAACGTCACACGTCCCAGGCGTCTACGGGACCTAACTTCGTTGGTTGAGCGAGCGTCAGGCGCACCCGCACGTGATTACGTGCGACTGGAGAACCCGAGACCGGGCGCCGCAGTTCTCGCGATAAGAGCCGAGGCGTCCAGGCTTTGGGTCAAGCAGTCAGTGATGGAGCTGTATGACGAACTGCCTGAACCTCCGCGGGCCCCTGGTGAGGCAGCCATTTTTAAAACCCTCACAGACACTGCCAGGCGTTACCATGGAGAGGGCAGACAGGAATGCCATAGTGTGCCATATAACCATCTCATTACACCGTCCCTTTAATAAAACACTCCTCTCATAGGGCAGCAATGCCTCCAATACAGTCTTACTATATACATTCCATATAACCAGGACATTACACTGCCCCTTTAATAAAACACTCCTCTCATAGGGCAGCAATGACTTCAATACAGTCTTACTATATACATTCCATATAACCAGGACATTACACTGCCTCTTTAATAAAACACTCCTCCCATAGGGCAGCAATGCCTTCAATACAGTCTTACTATATACATTCCATATAACCAGGACATTACACTGCCCCTTTAATAAAACACTCCTCCCATAGGGCAGCAATGCCTTCAATACAGTCTTACTATATACATTCCATATAACCAGGACATTACACTGCCCCTTTAATAAAACACTCCTGTCATAGGGCAGTAATGCCTTCAATACAGTCTTATTATATACATTCCATATAACCAGGACATTACACTGCCCCTTTAATAAAACACTCCTCTCATAGGGCAGCAATGCCTCCAATACAGTCTTACTATATACATTCCATATAACCAGGACATTACACCGTCCCTTTAATAAAACACTCCTCTCATAGGGCAGCAATGCCTTCAATACAGTCTTACTATATACATTCCATATAACCAGGACATTACACTGTCCCTTTAATAAAACACTCCTCTCATAGGGCAGCAATGCCTTCAATACAGTCTTACTATATACATTCCATTTAACCAGGACATTACACTGCCCCTTTAATAAAACACTCCTCTCATAGGGCAGCAATGCCTTCAATACAGTCTTACTATATACATTCCATATAACCAGGACATTACACCGTCCCTTTAATAAAACACTCCTCTCATAGGGCAGTAATGCCTTAAATACAGTCTTACTATATACATTCCATATAACCAGGACATTACACTGCCTCTTTAATAAAACACTCCTCCCATAGGGCAGCAATGACTTCAATACTGTCTTACTATATACATTCCATATAACCAGGACATTACACTGTCCCTTTAATAAAACACTCCTCTCATAGGGCAGCAATGCCTTCAATACAGTCTTACTATATACATTCCATATAACCAGGACATTACACTGCCCCTTTAATAAAACACTCCTCCCATAGGGCAGCAATGACTTCAATACAGTCTTACTATATACATTCCATATAACCAGGACATTACACCGTCCCTTTAATAAAACACTCCTCTCATAGGGCAGTAATGCCTTCAATACAGTCTTACTATATACATTCCATATAACCAGGACATTACACTGCCCCTTTAATAAAACACTCCTCCCATAGGGCAGCAATGCCTTCAATACAGTCTTACTATATACATTCCATATAACCAGGACATTACACTGCCCCTTTAATAAAACACTCCTCTCATAGGGCAGCAATGCCTTCAATACAGTCTTACTATATACATTCCATATAACCAGGACATTACACTGCCTCTTTAATAAAACACTCCTCTCATAGGGCAGCAATGCCTTCAATACAGTCTTACTATATACATTCCATATAACCAGGACATTACACTGCCCCTTTAATAAAACACTCCTCTCATAGGGCAGCAATGCCTTCAATACAGTCTTACTATATACATTCCATATAACCAGGACATTACACTGTCCCTTTAATAAAACACTCCTCTCATAGGGCAGCAATGCCTTCAATACAGTCTTACTATATACATTCCATATAACCAGGACATTACACTGCCCCTTTAATAAAACACTCCTCCCATAGGGCAGCAATGACTTCAATACAGTCTTACTATATACATTCCATATAACCAGGACATTACACTGCCCCTTTAATAAAACACTCCTCCTCATAGGGCAGCAATGCCTTCAATACAGTCTTACTATATACATTCCATATAACCAGGACATTACACTGCCCCTTTAATAAAACACTCCTCCCATAGGGCAGCAATGCCTCCAATACAGTCTTACTATATACATTCCATATAACCAGGACATTACACTGCCCCTTTAATAAAACACTCCTGTCATAGGGCAGCAATGCCTTCAATACAGTCTTACTATAAACATTCCATATAACCAGGACATTACACTGCCCCTTTAATAAAACACTCCTCTCATAGGGCAGTAATGCCTTCAATACAGTCTTACTATAAACATTCCATATAACCAGGACATTACACTGCCCCTTTAATAAAACACTCCTGTCATAGGGCAGCAATGCCTTCAATACAGTCTTACTATATACATTCTATATAACAAGGACATTACACTGCCCCTTTAATAAAACACTCCAATCATAGGGCAGCAATGCCTTCAATACAGTCTTACTATAAACATTCCATATAACCAGGACATTACACTGCCCCTTTAATAAAACACTCCTCTCATAGGGCAGTAATGCCTTCAATACAGTCTTACTATAAACATTCCATATAACCAGGACATTACACTGCCTCTTTAATAAAACACTCCTCCCATAGGGCAGCAATGACTTCAATACTGTCTTGCTATATACATTTCATATAAGCAGAATTAGAGAACAAGGAGTGGGGTATTTTTGTATAACCAATGCAAACAGCCAAGGGATATATGTAGAATTTATGGCAGAGAAATGTGATGTATGTCACTAGGATGGAACACTAGATTTGGCTAGATTTTGACTGATTGTGTTACAACATATTACAACTATTATTATACAACTATAGTTAGTAATGATACAATAAAGGTATTATAGTTTGCAGAGCATTAACCAGCACAGGATTAAAAAGAAAAACATATATTGTGGGAGATACTAATGACTAAATTGTTACTTTGCATAGGTTTACCTTGAATTCTTTTATATCAATTCTTCTACTTAAAGCTAGAGGTTACTTTCTACTGATTTTGAACATATACAAAACCATTGGTAGAATATGGACTCATTCATTGTAAATAAAACTGTTTAAATATATATGTGTGTGTGTTGTGCACTGGTAATTTGTGTATATCGAATTGTAAAATCCAAAGTTAAAGGTTGTAAAATAATCTTGTTGTAGAGAATGTCTTGAATTTAATGGCATCATCAATTAAATTGCCTGTTTGCAGTTAATATGCAAAACTGTGTGTGATTGTATGTGTGTTGTAGGGAAGAGGATTATTCTGCAGCTCTGTGTATAACTAGCAGTGTGTGTGACTTCCCTGAGCTCCAGTGGGGACCAGGCTGGCCAGGTAAAGATCAAGGAGGTTGCTTTACTCCAGTGTGGATTCCTGTTCACAAGTGCTGGGAGGAAGTGATTTGAGATCACTTCCTCTTAGTGCTGCAGTGCATTAATTGAAGATTGGCTCTCACCACCTGCAATCTCAAGTTGCACTAGAAAATATCTGAAGTTCCTCTGTGACTCCTGATAGGCCACAACCTTTTTGTTTCTAGGAGCCTTGAGTGCAAGCTACTGTTAATTTTTTATTTTATTTTATTTTTTCCAGCTTAATGAAGTGGTCTGGGTGCCAGGTCCAGCTAGGTTTAACCCTTTTTTTTTTTTTATAAACATAGCAGTTTCAGAGATACTGCTATGTTTATAATAGGGTTAATCCAGCCTCTAGTGGCTGTCTCATTGACAGCCGCTAGAGGACTTCCGCGCTTCTCACTGTGACGCCAGCGTCCATAGGAAAGCATTGTGAATGCTTTCCTATGGACTGGCTGAATGCGCGCGTGGCTCTTGCCGCGCATGCGCATTCAGCCGGTGACGGAAGAAGGTGGAGGAGGAGAGCTCCACGCCGGCGCTGGAGAAAGAGGTAAGTTTAACCCCTTCCTCCCCCCAGAGCCCGGCGGGAGGGGGACCCTGAGGGTGGGGGAACCCTCAGGGCACTATAGTGCCAGGAAAACGAGTATGTTTTCCTTGCACTATAGTGGTCCTTTAATTCAGTGTTGTAATTTCAGAGAAGTGAAAGTTCCTCTTTAAACAGAAGACTTGAAGCACCATAAACACTAAAGCCCACTGTGGTGGTTATGGTACCAAGAGTATCATGGCACCCTGTCAGTGTAAGTGGTAAAACCGTATAAGACCAGTTTGAGAAATTACATTGGTCCTGCTGCGTGCCTGGTTCTGCCTCCTCTGCACTGAGCTAAGCCTGACGGTGCAGGGTTACGCTTATTGACTGAGAGCACTCAGCTGACGCTTTCAGCCAATGAGCACAGCCCTGGAAAACAGGGTTTAGCTTAGTGGAGCTTGCATGAGCTTTCAGCTACAAACGAGGTGGTAATTAGACATCTTGCTGTCATCTGTTGAGATGTCTCTGAAGACATTTAAAGGATCACTATAGGGTCAGGAACACAAACATGTATTCCTGACCCTATAGTGCTAAACCCTTTAAGTGGCTTGCCCGGCTTGGCCCCCCTATGAAAGTTTAAAACTCTTATTATATAAACCTTATTTTCAGCACCACGCTGGTCTGCTGGTGCTGGCTCTGCCCCCTTTGTGACACCATCAAAATGGCCCATAGGGAAAGCATTGGATTGGCTTAAATCGGCACGGGGGCGGGCCAAATGTAATTTTGGCCAATCTGGACCTCCTCATAGAGATGAATTGAATCAATGCATCACTGAGGAAAATTCAGCGTCTCCATGCAGAGCGTGGGGACGCTGAACGGCAGGGCTGCTTACTGTGCAGCCCTGAGTCAGGAAGCCTCTCCAGTGGTCATCTAAGGAGTGGCCACTTGGAGGTGTCCCTAGGGGCAATGTAAACACTGCTTTTTCTCTGAAAAGGCAGTTTTTACATGAAAATGCCTGAAGGGAGCTATTATACTCACCATAACAACTACATTAAGCTGTAGTTGTTCTGGTGACTATAGTGTCCCTTTAAGGGAGACAGTCACTGGTTGGAGCTAACGGAAAAGGTGTTGGGTTTGGGGGAGTAGTAGTATATTAGTGTGTTATTGGCATAATATTGAAATCAAGTGAAGTGTTCTTTTTTTCCGAGACCAGGACATGCAGATATTGAAACATAAAACAAACTGTTATCACATCAAGGATCGTAGCAAGTGCCAGAGTTGAAAACACTTGTAAGAAATAAGATTTTGAGGAAATTATTTCATTGAAAGTGCAATACAGAGAAGTTGACAGTGATTGTGACAGGCAACATGACATTTTTGGAGGTTGAGTAGAGAGAAGTAGCCCTTCAAGTAAGAGGAGTTAGTTGGAATAGATAGAAGATCAAATTTGAAAGGAAGCAGAAACATGCTGGTGTTAAAAGATAAGTGAATAAGAATTAAAGCTAAAGTATGAATTTTTGTTTGTCGGTCTGAATAGCAGTGTAAGCAATTTGTGTAAATATGTTGTCAGTTTTAGATTTAATGTGATGGGGCTATTCCTGAGCAATAAGATGGTATAGGTGTAGAGTACAGGGAATATATATATTTAAAATTTTAGGAAAAAACCCCAAGTATTTGGTATTGTATGAATAAAATGTAATGACACGTGATCAATAAATGCATTTTTAGTGGAGGAAGTTATTGGAAGAGTAAGATTATGCACACGATTGTGAAAGTGCATTTGTAGAAAGTGGGCTATAATAGTATCACAGTTCCTAATGCAAATATGTGAAGAGGAATTGAGGTGGTGGGGTCATCTTTTACTAGCATTGACGATAAATTACTTATTGTCTTATATTAAAGAGCAGTGTTGGAATGAACCATGAGACTATATCTCACGTTGTGTTTAAATTGATATTTAATGGAGGTTTAGGAGGCTAGTGTCATGAAGAGGTAAGAACGTTGAGCACATTCACACTGATGGTGAAAAACAATGGCAAATAAGTAATAGTGATACACTGGAGTAGTAGTCTACTCTGTGACATCCAAGGAGTTGGTAAGGTAAAGATGTTTTGGAGGTTGTCAAAACTATTTGTATTTCTCCAAGAATGAGTGTATGTTTCTGTTCTGTAAAATCCTTTTTTAACAGTGGTCATGTGTACTCTGTTTTAAAAGAGATTTTTAGGGGCAGGCTTCAAACTACAAATCTATTATGTATCTTACAACTTTAGACAAAATTTCAGGTGAGTTGTGTATTAACAGACCAAAAAGAACAAATAGATACCATTTCTTTTTAACAGAATGCTGTCCGCGACGGCCCCGGACTCAATGAGAAGGCATATCTGGAACGCATGGGGCCATGCCCCGGACACTGGGACATCCTGGGGGCTGGGAGGGGGACGGGGCGTGGAAGGGAGCCCTGGCCGGGGCCCTGGCGGCCTTTTCCCCTTGTTTCTGGTCGGGGGGGTGGGGGGCTGCGATGGTCTTGGCCTTGGTGGGGGGAATCAACACCCCGGGCGGCACACGATGGGTGGCTCCGGGCCTGTGATTAGGGCAGCGGGGGGTGGGACGCCTGGGATGGGGGAGGGGACAGACAGTCCGGGGCCCTGGTGGCCTTCCCCCCTTTCCTCGGTTCGGGAGGGGGCGGCGGGCCGTGACGCTCTATCCCACTCTATCCCTCTGCTGCCCTCTTGGGGACCACCCGGACCCAGAGACCTCCCCCCTCCCGGTACCCTCCTTACACCCCCGTCCCGAGCCTCAGAACACGACTAAGGTACCCAGGACCATGCCACTTCAACTCTGCTGCATCTCCATCAATGCAAAGGGCCTTCATAGTCCCACCAAACGTCACTCCTTACTGCATTGGGCCCACAACCACAAAGCAGACATTCTCCTGGTCCAAGAAACTCATTTCACCCCCCACAAACACTTCCCACTCAAGAATAAACAATACAACCGCGCCTTCTTTGCTAACTCACCGGACGTAAAAACCAAAGGGGTGGCCATAGTACTTAGATCATCTTGCCCGCTGACAGACGTGCAAGCCACCCTGGACAAACGGGAGATACCTCACTATCACGGGCAAGATAGGCCCCACAACCTACTCCATCTCCTCCCTCTACGCCACCACAACCCCAGATCCATCGTTCTGGCCAACATTCTCGGCGCATCTAGCCGCACACAATACAACATTTACCATCATAGGTGGAGACTGTAACGCCACTCATCACCCCGTGATAGACCGCACCACCAAGTCGCAGGGCAAACCCCGCACCTCACTAAACGCACCTCCCATTTCTTGACCACACACAACCTCCTGGATATATGGAGAGCCCAACACCCCTCAACCCTTGACTACACGTTCTACTCCCACCCCCACAACACCTACTCACGCATTGACTACCTCCTAATCTCCCCGAACCTGACCTCACGCATCACACACACCTCCATAGGCCACATTACCTGGTCGGACCACGCTGACGTCTCCCTAACCCTCACAATCCCTAACATGACGCACCCATGGACTTGGAGACTCAACCCACAACTCCTCCACGACAAATCGGTCGTGACGTCCCTCGCAACCAATCTCAAAGAATACTTCACCCTGAATGAGCCATCAGTGTCCTCCCCGCTTACCATGTGGGCAGCCCACAAGCCAGTTATAAGAGGCAAACTGATAGCTATAGCGACGGCACGCAAAAAACGCCATAACAAACAATTAATGGAAACCATAGCAGAAATAGGCCGTCTTGAGACCCTGCATAAACTCCACCTACACCCCTCACACTTAGAACAGCTCACAACAGCCAGAGCACTTCTCAAAAGCCTTTCCTTATCAGACACAGCCAAAGCCCTCACATGGACTAAGCAAAAATACTATGAGAAGGGCAATAAGGCGGACTCTATGCTAGCAAAACGCCTCAAAAATCTGACGGAAGCAAAACGAATTTCCAAAATTCGTACCCCAGATGGGACACTGAGCGACACTCCACACACAATTGGAGAAACCTTCTTACGATACTTCACATCCTATCTAACCATACTACAGACACACCTAGCGATGCCATCCAAACCCAAACTGACAACTTCCTAAGGCAGCTGTCCCTTCCCACCCTCACCGACGACGCCAGAACCCTAATCTCAGCCGATATCTCCCCGGAAGAGCTAGGGGAAGCAATTAAGACCCTGAAACCAAATAAAAGCCCCGGCCCGGATGGCTCGACGGCCATTTATTACAAATCCTTCGGAGACATACTCATCCCCAGATTATTCAAAGTCTTTAATGCAATGCTCACCGGTGAACAGCTACCCCCCGATATGACTCAATCTAACATCACCTTACTGCCAAAACCAGGAAAATCCCACGACGACCCAGGCCACTACCGCCCCATCTCCCTCCTGAATATTGACCTAAAACGTCTGACGAAAGTCATGACTACCAGAATAAACCCCCTCCTACCGAAACTCATCAACCCTGACCAGGTTGGCTTTATCCCACAAAGACAGGCGCAAGATAACACACGGAGAACCATAGACCTAATCTGGTACGCCAACCACAGACGGATCCCAACGACAATACTTTCCCTAGACGCCGAGAAGGCCTTTGATCGCCTCCGCTGGCCCTACCTCTTTGCAGTACTCCGTAAATTTGGATTCCCATCCGAATGTACTCAATTTCTACAAGCAATGTATCACTCACCGACAGCGCAACTGCTAATACCCAACATCACCCCTCCCTCCTTCCCCATACTAAACAGCACCCGCCAAGGCTGCCCACTCTCCTCCCTCCTATTTGCCATATCCCTCGAACCCTTACTGGAGACCATACGTAACAACCCACGTATCGAAGGCATCCAAGTCCGCAACGAGCTGTTCTCTGTAGCTGCATATGCCGATGACATCCTCCTGACCCTAACCAACCCCATTCAGTCCATAACTGCTCTCTTGGCAACCCTACACGACTACTCAACAATCTCGGGGTACCAACTGCAGATACACACTAAAATAACTGACAGCGTAAACATGGATAAGCTGACTGCACAAATACATGACACCCCCAACTCATTCCACAAAGTGTGGGATCCATGGCTGGAGGTGAACAACACCCTCCCATGGTGACCCGCGGCAATCCCACCAACCAACACCACCCAAGCACAACTACAACATGATGCAAATCTGAGGCTCGCCCCCACCTACCGCCCTTAACCTACCCCACCCCACCAACGGCGTTGGGGGGTACCCAGGAGGGCAGCACCATCCTGCCTTTTCTTTTCCACAACACCCCTCGCCCCAGTCTCCCACACTCCCACCTTATCCGCCCCATCCCCCCCTTGAACAGTGAAAATGACACACCCACGGGGCTCCGCTGATTAAGCCTCTCACAACAAACCTTTCTCGGACAGCGACCCCCAAACCAGCCACCCCCCCCAACAGACTCGGGCTAACATCTCTGGCTCAGTTGACTCATAAGTCATACCTCTCCCCTCAGCCATACCAGGCTACAAATCAGACCACCGCCTAATCTGAGACCGCACAAGACACCACCACACACCGGTCCACCACAGGCGGTGTAACACACACTCTCGGAGACTTCAATGCCAGACTTACCCCCGGACAACTCAATGTTATTCCCCACTGTTCTTTCCCAACTACTTGATCTACAAAAATGAAAATAAAGAATTATCCAAAAAAAACAACAAAAAAACAGAATGCTGTAAGGTCCATTACTGCTTAACGTTCCTTACACAGTTTATGGTGCAGTTGGTTTCATGTTGCTATCTTCTCTCCTGTTTTTGCGAATCCCTGCAGCTGTGCAGAGGTCTGTTGATTATGCAAGGCACGTAGTATAGGCTGTGATGAAGGAGATCAGTCTGACATTTATTGATGTATGTTTTAAACTGTCTTGAGGAAGTGATCATTGAATGTTTGTCTGTAAAGAACAGATTCTTTCAAATTGCGTTTGTGACTATCAATGAATTGTATTAAATATCATTATATCCCCAGTATTGTCACCACCTGATTCTGGACCTGCTCATCTGAACTCCACTGGCAAGCGGAAAGCAGAAACAACTGACTCGGAGAACAGGGAAGGCTGTCATCAGGAAAAGAAAGTTTGTAAAGGTTTTCACACAACTCAAAACTGCACATGGCATTTGTGTGTGGTGGGACTGATTCCTCAATGTGTGTTCATATGTAACTGCTCTATTGATTGTCTTGGCCATCAAGTCTTTGCAAGGGTCTAAAGTGCTCCTTTCGATCTGTGGTCATCTATTCAATGTATTCCTTTTGATGTCACTATATGGATAGGAGTATAAGTAATAATTTTGTCTATGATGTTGACTGTCTAATGTGATTACAGAGGAAACCATTAACTATCAGAGTGTAATTATTACCCTTAATAGAGCTTAATTATTCCTCTACTTTCTAAACCTAATTGCTTGTAAAGAATCCAAAATATATTGTAGCGCTTCAATAAAAGTAGTTTTGTCAGTTTATGATATATTGGCGGTGGGGGGGGGGGAGGGAATCTGCATAATTGCTTGTAATTCTGCTACTTAGGATTTTTTTGGGATGGAGGGAGGGGGATTGATTAGCCATAAACTAAACTAGTGTACATCTAATAAGATATGGTGAAACCCATAGTTCTAGTCGTGGGTCTCTCCGATACCATTTATTGCCATTAAATTCTGTTCGTTTTAGAAATATTTTGTGTTCTTACTAATCCAATATGTAGATGTTTAATACTTTTAGTATTTTAAAATGCATCGTTTGTCTTTTATGATCTCATTGGGAGTTATAAGAATTTGTGTAAAGTATTATACTTTGGCTATTTATCAACTGCTGTTGATAATTTGTTTTTGTTTTTTTTTAGGACTTCTTACTTTAAAAGCTCATGTAGCCGAGAGAAGAGGAGAACGAGAGGAGTTGCAGGATGCTCATACCATATTTGACCTAAGCCAGGAGTGTCAGCCAATGCCAGCTGACATGTAAGTGGACCCAAACCTGAGTTAAGTGTCTTAATAGCATTTACATGGGTGAAGAATTGAGGAAATATTACAGTTCCTCTTTAATTTCACAGAAGAAGAGTAAGTACTTTGTCATTAAAACTCATATACTTGTAATATTGTAAGCAGGATTTATGTTTCCAGCTAACCTTCTGCTCTCTTAGTGTCAGTGTACCAGCACAGTCTTCCAAAACACACTTTCACAGTGGAGAAAGTAAAAAGTCATTGGTTTTGCAATTGTAATACAGCTTCACAGCTGACAAATGCTAATGCTTAGAAATGACAGATTCCCATGAGAATTACACAGGAATAGTGCTGTTCAGGTTCAAACAAAAAAATCAGGAGCTAGAACTTTACTGATCCCTTTTGGTGGTGCTCAGAATATTGAGGATTTTAATGTGATGTATGGTCAGGTGCAGGGTTTTTGCTTTTAATATTTATTATTCCTATTAATGCTGTAGACAACAGCTTCGGAATATTTCTGCTGCTACTATGTGCAGTTCTTCAGGCCATAGCAAGCATGTGAAAATATAATGTATGACATAAAGCAATCACGCTAGACACTTGGGAGGACAGTGTATAATGTTTTATACTTGCCATTTTAATATTTTATCTCTAAATTCTGTTTCCTATCCCTCCATCTTTCAGTTCACGTTTACTATACTTTGCGGTGTTTGATGGTCATGGAGGTAACCGAGCTGCACGGTTTGCCGCTCACAATCTACATCGGAATCTCCTGAAGAAAGTACCTCGAGGTAACACAAGGGTGCAACTCTTTATAGTGGGGGTTATCATGTGTCTGTGAGAGTCTGACTTTGTGAATGTTGTAGGCGAGGGAAGCAGTGTAGAGAAGGCAATGAAGAGGTGCATATTGGAAGCCTTTAAACAAACCGATGAAGAGTTCCTGAAACAAGCGGCCAGTCAGTGAGTATCCCATTTCTTCATAATGCCCTCTGGTAAGAGCATGTTTAGCCTTACATACACATATATAATTTATTTATAATATATTTTACCAGGATGGATATATTGAGATTTCTCTCGTTTTCAAGTATGTGAAAACACTTGAAATAAGGTGTCACATAGTATGAATGGACTTTTGAACCCAAGTTTTAAAAATATTTTGGTATAATACCTGGAATACGCTTGTCAGTTCTCCACATTTCCCAAATAGTGCGTAAATCCTACTGTTTTTCCTACTATGACAGACCACAATAATATTGGATATACATATTGTCATGTACAGTGGGCATGATTCGGTCCCAGTATTACCAGGGATACCTGAATTGCCTGGGGTTTTTTTTGTTAGCATCTAGGGTTAACCTTGAATGATTGATATATTTATTCTGTTTTGCATTTTTGTCTGTTATGGAAGGAAAGGGAAATCCTTTTTGATCAAAAAAGCACTGCTAGGGCTGTGTTATTTACTATTTTCACAAAGAACCCCCGCTGTACCTACAGCTAGAACTTGATAATGTAACACTTTTGGGCCCCATAAATATAAGAATCCAGTGCTTAGTGCTTATCCACATCAGTATTTTCAATAGACAGGTGTCATATACTGGTCATGTTTTATGCAGCTCCATGAGAAGTCTTTGCAAGGCAGATGCTGTAATTGCCTGCCTCTTTAGTTTAGCTCCACAGAGCTGAACAAACCAGGAAGTAGCGGGAGCCCTTATCTGATTGACATCCAGGGGGTGTAACCAGGTTAATTTATAAAAGTTCCAATTTCTATTGAAATCCCCACCCTTTGTCAAACTAAAAGGAAAAGAAAGACACTCTTCACACACTTTACTCAAGCTGAAGTGCTTGAGGGTCTGGAGTGTCCCTTGATGGGGTAATTTTTTACTTTTTAAATCTTTACTTTCCTTGCGCAGACAAGTAGTGAATTCATATTAACCCTTTCACTCCCAGAACAAAGTTGCAAGCACGCTTGGAGTAGTGTGCATCATGACACATAGCTATACCTATTTACATCCAAATGTAATTTCGAAAAAGCTTCTTTCGTTGATCTATATTTTGTGTCTTACAGCAAACCGGCATGGAAAGACGGAACAACTGCCATCTGCGTTCTGGTTGCAGATAATGTCCTTTATATTGCCAATCTTGGAGATAGCAGAGTGAGTCTTCTTCAAAACTGTCAGCAGGGACTGAGGGGCTTTAGGGGAAAAAATAATACATTTGACTTGTTTCAACCATCTGAAAGTGCATGGATGCTTTTTGATTGCAGGAAATTTTTAATAGTTCACGTATAGTAGGCAAGTGGCAGTGGTTGCTGTCACGTGTGAACATTTAATAGCACTCAAATGCACAATTTGTATACTCCTAGAAAAGCCTTCAGTTGTTCACAAGCACTCAGCCTCATGGCAATGAATTTATGAAACAGAGGAAAAAATGGTCATCTTGCAAGCAGATAATTAGTCATTTTTATTGTTTGCAGTTGCAAGTTAACTGGTTTGATTTGTTAACCTGCAGTGCTTACACTGGTGCTTTTCTTGTGTGCATGAACTGACCAAAAAGTAACTCTCTAAATATATTTTAATTTATACATTTATTAGTAATTTATCGGTAATCACCTGCATAAATTAAACGTTCTCAGACAATAAACACACATAAGTAGGAATATGTATATATGGACGTAAAGACAAATTATATATAGTTAACCAACATATTCAATAACATACCAAAGGTCTTACACAATTTTATGAATGTTGCCAGATTTCACCAAGGAAATGTGTAATGTTTTAACCTTAAAATATAATCAAATAACTTGACTACAAGCAAAGTTATTATCTCATTTAAATGAAAATCTTATTGGCTATTTTAACTAAAAGGTGCAGATTTAATTTCAATAGGGGCCTAAGGCAGATCTTGTTGGTCATATTTTTAATGACTGGTCAACTTTAAAGGGAAACTGTCATTTTTCTGTCAATTAAACATTCTAATAAACACTATTAAAATGTTTTTTCTGACATGAAGTGTTCATGGAGGTGTAGGTATTTAACACACCTTAAAATAACACTATAGGGTCATGAATATAAACATGTATTCCTAACCCTATAGTGTGAAAACCACCATTTAAGTGGCTTGCCCCCTTATAAGGTAAGAAAACGTACATTATTTCCAGCCCTGCGTGGGTTATCCAGCTGGCTCTGGCCCCAATTCGCCTCTTTGGCTGACATCATCAGAATTGATGATCTTAGCCAATCCATAGGAAAAGCATTGGATTGGTTGAGATCGGCAAGGAGGTGGGCGGGGCCAAACACTGGCTTGGCCAGTCAACATCTCCTGTTAGAGATGCATTGAATCAATACCTCTCTATGGGGAAAGTCTCCATGCAGAGCATTTCATACACTGTGCAACACTTCCCCAGGAAGTCCCTAGGGAGCAGTGTAGACACTGCCCTTTCTCTGAAAAGGCAGTGTTAACATCAGAAAGGTTGCACGGACAGCCTATACTCACCAGAAAAACTACATTAAGCTGTAGTTGTTCTGTTGACTATATTGTCCCTTTAACCGCAGAATTATCAATATTGGCACCACCATATTCATGACATGCACTGAGCACATGTATAGTAAGGCATCTCTTCTTTCTAAGTTGTCAGTTTAACAATGATTTATTTTTAGTATTGGACAGGATGTGCTAAACATTGATGTACATCTGGGGCCTATCCCAGGGTCACTGACACCTGGGTGCAATAATCTTTTTTAAGCCTTCAGATGGTCATGGTTATATCACTAACTTCTTATCTTCACAAACCTACCCTTTTAACCACACCCATTTCCTATGGAAACCACTCCAACTCTTTGCCACCCACCCAATTCACAAGGTAGCATGTCACCCACTTCCTACAATGCCAGCTTTGCTCCCAAAAATCGTTTCCTTGCCATCTTTGTGCCCAGATTTCCAGTGCCATCTCTGTCCCCATACAGCTACCCAGTGCCATCTCTGTCCCCATACAGCTACCCAGTGCCATCTCTGTCCCCATACAGCTACCCAGTGCCATTTGTGTCCAAAAAGTAGCTAATCAGTGCCATCTTTGTCTCAACACTAACCAGTGCCATCTTTGTGCCTAAATAGCTTATTAGTGCAGTCTTTGTGCCCAAATTACTTATCAGGGGCAGACCAAGAATCTAATCTCAGTAGAGGCATTTGTAATGGGGTGATATGGGCTATAATTTAGGAGTTATGGGTGTATAGGGGCTGTAGTGGGAAGGTGGGGACTGAAGTAGTATGGTTAGGAGCTGTAGTGGAGGGTATGGGCTGTAATTGGGGGTTAGGAAATCTATTGGGGGATACGGACTATAGTAGGGGTGTTAAGCGATGAATTTAGGGGTGGCTGTAATGTGGGGGATATGGGCTGCAGTTTGGGGCAGGTGTAGTGGGGTGTAAAAGTGGGAATAGGGGCTGTAGTGGGAGGTATAGAGGGAGTAGTGGAGGATATGGGCTGAAATTGGGATGATAGGGACTGCAGTGGGGTTATAGGGGCTACTGGTGGGTTAAAATGGCTTTTGTAGGGGGTTTAGGGGCTGTAGAAGGGTATAGAGGGAGCAATTGAGAGGTTAGGGACTGAGGTTGGGTATATGGGCACTAATGTGAGGGTTACGGGGTGTAGTAGAGTATAGGGGCAGTAATTGTGGGGGGTGGGGGTTAGGGGCTGTAGAAGGATATTACAGCAGCAATTGGAGGTGAGGAGCTATAGTAGGGTTTAGGAGCAGCAATTGGGGGGTTAGGGGCTGTGGTATTGGTGGGTCGCTGGGTTAGGTGCTGTGGTAGGGTATAAAGGCAGCACGTGGGGGTGGGTTAGGAGCTGTATTAGGGTATAGGGGCTGCAGTAGAGTGTAAGTGGCAGCAGTAGTGGGTTTAGGGGCTATAGCATGGGATGGTTAGGCGTGCTGTAGTAGGTTTAGGGGCTGCTGTAGTAGGGCTAAGGGCAGCTATTGGGGAGGGGGGGAAACTAGTTTATATCTCTCCTCCCTGAGGCTTACCTTGGGCTAGGGACGAGTAGAATCCTGATCTCTGGTGGTCCCAGGTGCCAGGGCATTAAGTGGAGCCAATCGAGGGGATGGGGCCTACCACGAAGGGGCAGGACCTAATGTGGAAGTGCGCATATAGCTGCAGAACGCCTGGGTGCTGTGCACCCCATGCATCCGCCCAGGATTGGCTCTGTGTGCATCATATGCCATGCTTTGCCATGCCTTTTATATGTTTAATCCCTTAAGGACCAAACTTCTGGAATAAAAGGGAATCATGACATGTCATGTGTCCTTAAGGGGTTAAAGAAAAGCAAAACCCTAAACTAACTTTTGGGGTTTTTTTTGTTTAAATTGTTTTGTTCCTGGAATTTCTCCCGATACCTACACACTTTTCTTTACTGTGACTACAAACATGTAGAGATGGAAACATTACTGTTCTCATCCACATTTATAATATTACTTGTATTGGTTAAGGAAGTGCATGTATCATAACATTTTTTTAGAGAAGTCATAAACTGTACAAATATTGATATTTTTCAACAGTGTCCTTTCTTAGCTCCATACCATGAATCTGTTATCTGTTTTCTACCACTCCCCAGCTACAGACACTGACTAACTTGATTGTGACTTATCTTGCGAATGGTTTGCTTCGGTTCTATCCTGGCAGTCACTCAGGACATGCTGTCATTGAGTACATCTTGCAATAATAACAAACACTGTTTGATTTAACTTCTGTTACTTTATGAATACTCTGTAAATGTGCATCTAGTGTTCTGTGTCTGAACATTCTAACAATGTCTATAAGGAGAGGAAAGGTCCCAGCAATGTTTAGAAAGTGCCCTTCAGTGATCTAAACAATTTGTAAACTTGTAGCCAGTTACTTCCATTCCCACAGCCTTATTCTCTCATGCACATAGCCACGAGTCACTTCTTACAAACCCATCACACTTTCATGGGTTAAACTAAATCTGGAATTGTGTATTACGCTGCCTGGAGTGGAGTTACACCTCTGGCAGCAGAGAGGTTTGACTCGGTATGTACAGCATTTTTTATATCTCCTGCTACACATAAAGTTTCCAGGCATTAACATTTCAAATCACTGAAGTGGTCATGGTGCATGGAGTAACCCTTTAAATATTAGTTATGTATTTTAAGTGTTACAGAAACATACAGAAAAACCAGTCTGTGCAGCACAATTATGTGTACACACACACTGTAGGACATCTGTTTTCTGTCATTGTTTGACTGCATCAGGGACATTTTGTACATTGACATAGTTACACTTATTCATCATGTCCTTGATATTTCTCTCTTATTCTGAGATCTCAGATTAATTTTATTGTACATTTCAGGTCACTGATTTGTTTGGAGCTGTTTTTTCCACCACATTAAATTTATCTTAAAAAAAGCGCATGTGAAATTCTAAAGAGGATGGGCAAATATTTATTTTATTGGTTTATTGTATATTATTACCACCTGCTGTAATTGCTGGGTTTAAGTTGCTTTGTTTTTCGTTCTAACTGTAGCATTTCTTTCCTCTAGGCTGTGCTTTGTAGGATAAATGAAGACACCCAGAAACCCACAGTGCTGAGTTTGAGCAAGGAGCATAATCCTACTCAATATGAAGAGAGGATGAGGATTCAGAGGGCTGGTGGCAACGTGAGGTGAGAAACATCACAGCTAACCTCTCTGTACATATTTAAACTAGAAATCTCAACATAACGTGCATTACCTATGACACCCATGTATTTATTCTATTTCATATTTCACATATGGGAATGTTGTTAGATTCATCAAGAATTATAACACTAGCTTGCTGGGGTGGTTATAGTGCCATGATTTGATCTCTGCAGTATTTAAGCACAAAACTTCAAAGTTCACGATATACAAGATATTTAGGGTTTCATGTGTTCTTTTTTGGAGCTAATTTCAACACTGGCTCCTGTCAACCAGCCGCCTGGAACAAGTTCTGTGCTGTCTATATTAATTTTATCTAATTTTTGTGTATTGATGCTGCACACACAACTTGTTCTTAGAGAGCGGAGCCAAAGAGCGTTTAATATAACCCAATTCAGTGAACAGTAAACCACACTGTGCACTACTGGAAACTTGATGAGGGGTTTTTCTTGTTAATGCCATTTCTATATATTGTATTAAAATTGGAAGTCATTTTTTTTTTTTTAATTCTTTATTTTTGCTGTGCAGAAAATATACATGAGAAGTTTGCAGTGCCACAATAGCGGGACAAACTATGCATTTTCCAACAAATTAGACACTTGTAAGGTGTTTGTATGATATGCACAAAATTTTTGGTATATGTTGAGTATATCATGCTGGTTAAGTACATCTAAATAAAATTAACAAACGTAAATGATTTTTAGTCCCTTTTTTGGAGGCTACCGAGACAAAGGCATTAGACAGAGAGATGTATAAATGCCGTAAGGGCAAATTTGGACATTAGTATGGTGCTTAGGGTGTCAGCACATACTTAGTAGTAAAAGCGTTAGTCAGGCTTTAACCTTAGTGTTGCACCAGATGTGATATGTGTTTGTTGTTTAGGCAGCCTAGTTGATTTCAGTGTAAGTGCATTTAATTTTATTTGTTGCTTTCGCCCCTGCGGCGTTTGTGTGCCCTCCCCAGTTGCACTGAGTGCAGTGCTGCTTTGGGTTCTGCTAATTCTGCGGGATTTTTATGTGCATGTGTTGGGGAGGTTACTCCGGTTAGACTTCTAGTTTAGCTTCGTTTCCAGGGAAGCTGTGCCCCTTTGCACTACATGGTGGTGCCTGCGGTGAAGTGTCAGTGCTGTGACGGTGTTGTTCTGGGTACTGTTTGCTGACTATCTTGTTTAAGTTTGCATATGTGCGGTCTTTACTTGGGCATGGGATGTCTAGACCTGTGGACAGTCGTCAGGAGCGGAGACAGGCACCTCTCTAGAGGCTGACGCCACTGTCCGTGCTACAGGTGCCAGTGTAGTTCAGTGGTCATGGTGGTGGTAGGGGGCCGGCCGCGGGGGTGTATCTCATGCTTAGCAGTGTGTCGGTTGGGTCTCATTTGGCTAAGGGGGCTTTTGCCAATGAGTTGTGCTGTCTATGGGACAGGGCTCTTTTGTAGTATGAGTACGCTTAGGGATGGGAGGCTGTAGCATGAGGTGTTAGCTCGTACCATAGCCGGGTAGGCAGGGGTAGTGATGATTGCCGTGGCTGGGATTCGTTTCTATATTGGGAGGGAGGGGGAGTCATTTTTACCCCAAGGTTCCTCTTGCAATCTACTTTATCCTCCGTCATAGTTCTAAAGTATAGTGAAGGGAATTGTCTGTATCATAAACATTGTGAGTATATTATTGTACGCTAAAACAAGTCTTTTAAGATTTCCCTTTTGCCTTCAATCATCACATGCCTACCACTTGCATTTGTCAAGGGGCCCACTGCTTTAGGGTGTGTACAGTGTTCTGCAGAGTCAGCAAATTCAGTGAAATGCCAGCTATCAGTTAGAGCCATACTTGCAGATAGCGCTCTGCCCATGTCTTGGTTTTGTATGTACAGAAAGCACTACCCTGTAGACAATTTAGGCTTAACTCCAATCCCTTCAGGCAGACAATCTTTTAGAGTGCACTTAAAGGGCACTGTCACTTCCCAGGACTAATATTCTGTTTAATTAAACCTATATTTAAAAAATACGTATTTATGTGGTGTGAAAAATAAAATGCCTTTTTATCCTGCAAATGGATACCCACATCTTAGTTACCCCGTCAATCATTGTTACAAAGTTTGTCTCTATTTTTTAGCTGCAATGATCGGCCAACTGTTGGAGTTAAGTCGTTAAGCCCTGATTTTTAACGAGCATTGAAATGTCTGACGTGACATGCAGGGCTGTTGGGATAGCGTTGCTCAGACGTGAAGCACATTCAGCTAAGTTAGGCATGGCTTCCCCTGGGGTTAATAACAGTGGCACTACACTTTACTACCTGCCGTGTTTTAATTAATTGTTATGTATATTTTGTAATAATAAAGATATATTTTTCCTATACCATTTTGTATCGACTCCCTTTGAGTGCAAGGGATTTATCATGTGTGTCCCAAATCATGAGCAGAATAAGGCTTAGAGGAAATGAGACTAGACAAATAAGACCTATTGAGAATACTCACATTATAGGGCAAAACAGAGAGAAAAGATGTAAAGCTGCTGTCCTTTACCTCTGTCATTGGAAATAGTATATGCACTGTTCATCATGAACAGTTCTCTTCATGCAAACATGAATGCGAGGAAAAGGAAACATATTGTTGCCTGTCTGTTATGACAATGAGTGGTGTGATGTACATAATAATCTTATATGGTTGCAAATTGATTTGCCCTGGATGCCTTATTTTTTTCTAATTACCATTTCATTTTTCTACTTAGAAACATGTAGAATTACCTAATTAACTTGCTTAGCTCTAATGACTTTAACAATCTACACTATGAGTTTTAACCCCTTCACTCTACTGATATGGCAAATATATTAAGCTGCTAAATATGCCCAGTGTCTCTCTCAGTGCTGTGTTTTTCACTGTTAGTCACCTTCTTGACTTGATATATTGCGTCGATTTTTTTTTTTGATTTTTTTTTGAGATGCAGTTTTATCTGTTAACTTGCTCCTTCTCTATTAACTCGTTTTCCTCTGGTGATCACATTCACCTTTTAGATGTCTTGTCTTCTTCCAGCCTAATACTTTTTTCCAATATCATTTTGCTACTGATATTATTTATAGGACAATTATTTTGAGATTCACTCATCATGTTCTGTCTGTTCAACCTCTTCACATTACCATTTCCCTCTCCTTAAGGAACACTATAGCGTTGGGAATACAAATATATATTCTTAACGCTATATAGCCCTAGTCACCTAAACGGTAACTATGGCCTTGTTCCGCGGTGAATAAATGGTTAATTAACCATTTATTTGCTTACCTTAATCCAGCACCGGGCTCCCTCGGTGCTGGTGACCTCTCCTCCTCCTCCATCGACGTTGGCTCCCGAGTGGAGCCAGAGGCGCGTGCGCATTCAAACCCGCCTATAGAAAAGGGACACCATAGTCACCAAAATTTTTTAGCTTAATGAAGCAGTTATGGTGTATAGATCGTGCACATGAAGTCTTACTGACATTTAGGAGTTTAATCACTTATGTTTCTGTTTATGCAGCCCTAGCCACACCTCCCTAGGCTATGATTAATACATAATACATTATGATTAATACAGCCTACATGAAAACAAAATGGATTCATTTTCAATCAGATGTAACTTACTTTAAAAGTTTTTATTCCCTGCTCTGTAAATTGAGCTTTAATTACATACAGAAGGCTTTTGCAGGGTATAGCAAGTTATTAACAGAGCAGGAGATAAGAAATTATAGATTAAACAGAATTTGCAATAAAGGAAGTGTAAATGAAGTTTAAATGACTCTTTACAGGAAGTGTTTTGGAAGGCTGTGCATGTCATCTGCAGGGAGGTGTACCTAGGTCTCCATGAACAAAGTGATTTAACTCCTAAATGATAGAGAATTGAGAAGTGAGACTGCAGGGGCATGACCTATACACCAAAACTGCTTTGATACAGAGCCTTCCCCATCACGGTGGACTAGTCTCTTAAGGAGTGGTCTCAATCGTAAAGCTAGCCTTTTAGTGAATAATTTCAGATCGATGTTTATTAATGAGATGGGCAGTAATTTCCACATAATTCTGGGTTCTTCCACAGTTTTGGAATCGGTGTAATGGTGGCTTCTAAGCTAGTTGCAGTGATCTGCCGGAAATGGTTTATTGAGTTGATAGCTTCTAAAAAATTAGGAAGTTCCTTCTCAAAAGTTTTATAATACACTAAGCATTTTTTGTGCCTTTTTTTTTCACACAGAGATGGCAGAGTTTTGGGGGTGCTAGAGGTATCTCGTTCTCTTGGAGATGGACAATTCAAGCGCCTTGGAGTCAGCAACATACCAGATGTAAAAAGATGTCCACTCAATCAAAGTGACCGGTGAGGCTTTATACATTTATTTAATTTCCATTATATTAGTTAATTCAAGTATAACAATATTTAATATTAAAGCATACATGCAGCTATGAATAAGTAATAGGATTTGACTTATTGCTAAAAACCCACAGAATGGTTTCCATTTTATGATTTATGCATTAGGAAAAATATTTTTTTTTGTATCGTATCTAATACTGTTCTTTCTGCTTTTAGGTTTATTTTGCTAGCCTGTGACGGGCTTTTCAAAGCCTTTTCAGCAGAAGAGGCTGTAACATTTATCCTGACAAATGTGCAGGTAAATTACCTTCTCATAACACATAGGGCTCAATTTAAAATTCTGGTCCTCACAAATCTCTTAATGATGCTCGCTAGGATCTACCTATCTTTACTAATACACAAGTAAGTCCCATCAGGCCCCAACGCTCTGCTGAAGACTTGTCTGTTCGCACTTGCACCTTCTTTAGGGCAGCACTGTCCCTATCCCTGCTCAATTAGACTCTCATCCAGTTTTCACTCTTTCAAATATCTCTAAAAAACAAATAAACTTCTTGATATTAAACTATTAATAGTTTTCTCTCCTAGCACCTCACTATCCCACTGTGATTCCTCTCCTGTAACTGTGTCACGTAAAATACTATGCCATCATTGTAAACTTTTCTAACAGCATACTTCCCATCTTACACTTTACCCCACTCGCCTTAGAATGTAAGTTCCTTTGAGCAGGACGCTCAGCACGTTCTGTTACCATACATCTAACTGGTCTTGTTGCAACTGCTTGTTAGTTCCCCTAGTGTACAGTGCTGTGGAATTTGTTGGCCCTTTGTAAATAATACATAAGAAATCAGATAAAATAGAGAACAAAAAAAGTAAAAAAAAATAAAAAATTAATTGAGCAACTTGCTCCTAGTATTGTGTCTTTAACTTGAATGGTGTAATCCAGATGAAAATAGTATATAATATTCGTGAATATCTTATCCGCTTTAGGGTCTTGGGAGAGTGCATAGTTTAGCTAATGTATTGTTTTCCTGCTGTCACAGGAAGAAAGTTCTCCTTCAGAAAACTCTCCTCCAGTCCTTGATGCTCGGTATGAATCTGCATGCCACCGCCTTGCCAATGAAGCAGTGCGCCGAGGTGCTGCCGATAATGTCACTGTTCTGTTGGTACAGATCCAACACTGATAGAGTTGGAGGATGGATGGGGCCACACCACAGACGGATCTATTCACAGCTTTAAAACCTGTTGTAAATAAGTTTTTCTATCATATGTTCAATAAGCAAAAAATCATTAGCATTGTTAATATTTTACAGAAAGTTTGATTTGTGTTTTAAAAATTCTGTAGCAAAATACAGCTACAGAAATCTTGCTGAGTATTTTTGCCCTGAGTGTAAGGTATGTCTGTGAGATTACAAGAAGAGCAAAGTGTCTTCAGTTTGAAGCGTGTGCTTTATAATGTAGTATGTCATTTTTAGGTGTGTAGCAGTAAATAGCAAGATTTTTTATTTTATTTTTTGTAAACGCCTACATTTCTGCATTATGAAATAGCACTTTGTGTTAAAATGTCAACTGTGACTTGTAGATTAATGCATGGTATGTGTCAGAGATACTGTGTAACTCGCTTCACCATGACATCTGTTAAAGTACTGCAATGAAATTTTTTTGTATTAAAAAAATGAATGGCCGTCATGTGAACTGGCGATTGGTTTTCTTTAACATTTACCTGTTGATGCCTTAATTCCAGCTCAGAAACAATTTAATAACTCTGCTCTGCAAACCGTTAGAAAAGCGTGTGTGGGGGTTAGTGAAATCATTGTGCTGCTTTGCAGCTCAAGACTATTGGTATTGTTGGCAGTGAACACAGTGCACGTGCCTACCATCAACATAGTGTGTAGTGGGAGATATTAGTTTAACATGGTTGTCAATCCATGCTTTTTTTTTTAATAGAGCACTCTTAATTTGATATGTGAATAATTTAACATCACAAACTGTATGTATTCAGGTTTCGTGACTATTTTCTCTTGTCCTTCCTGCCCCAATCTCCTTTTCTTCTCCTTCATTTGACACAGTCTTCTTTTTCTTCTTACATGGTCTTCTCTCCTCCTTGGCTCCTTCTGCTCCTTTACCTTTCTGCTTCTTGTGCTCCCCCGTCAGATCCTTTCTCTATCTGATCCCTTGCAGACCCTTTCTGTTCCTTCTCCTACTTTACCTTTGTGCTCCTTGCTGTCCCTTTCTGCTCCTTGCTACCCTTTTTTGCTCCTTCTCATACTTTACCTTTGTTCTCCTTCTGATTCTTTCTGCTCCTTTACCTTTGTGCTACTTCTGTCCCTTTCTGCTCTTTGCAGACCCTTTCTGCTCTTTGCAGACCCTTTCTGCTCTTTGCAGACCCTTCCTGCTCATTTCTGTTTACTTCACCTTTGTGCTCCTTCTGTCCCTTCCTGCTCCTTGCTGCCATTTTCAGCTCCTTGCTGACCCTTTCTGCTCCTTCTACTTTACCTTTATGCTGCTTTACCTTCCAGCTCCTTGCAGACCCTTTCTGCTTATTTCTATTCCTTCTCCTTTGTGCTCCTTCTCTTACTTTACCTTACTGATCCTTCCTGTAGGCTATCTCTGCCCCCCCTGTAGGCTATCTCTGCCCCCACATGTAGGCTATCTCTGCCCCCCAATCTGTAGGCTATCTCTGCCCCAATCTGTAGGCTAATCTCTGCCCCAATCTGTAGGCTATCTCTGCCCAAATCTGTAGGCTATCTCTCTGCTTGCCCCAAATCTGTGGGCTATCTCTGCCCCAAATCTGCCAGGCTATCTCTGCCCCAATCTGTTAATTTATCTCTGCTAATCTGTAGGCTATCTCTGCCATCTGTAGGCTATCTCTGCCCCATCTGTAGGCTATCTCTTGCCCCATCTGTAGGCTATCTCTTGCTTCCCATCTGTAGGCCATCTCACCTTTACCATCTGAGGCTATCTCTCAAGCCCCCCCATCTGTAGGCTATCCTCACTTCATCTGTAGGCTATCTATATGCCCCCATCTGTAGGCTATCTCCTTTATCTGTAGGCTATCTCTGCCCCGTCTGTAGGCTATCTCACCCCATCGTAGGCTATCTCTGCCCCCCCCATCTGTGGCTATCTCACCTTTACATCTGTAGGCTATCTCTGCCCATCTGTAGGCTATCTCTGCCCCGTCTGCCAGGTATCTCACCTTTACATCTGTGGCTATCTCTGCCCCATCAGGCTGTCTGCCCCATCTGTAGGCTATCTCTGCCCCATCTGTAGGCTATCTCCTGCCCCATCTGTAATTTCTGCTTTACATCTGTAGGTATTTCTTCCCCCATCTGTAGGCTATTTCTCAGCAGGTGGTGAGCTACTATTTTCAGTAAATTTACATTATATAAGTGACTAGTGGCTTCTGGCAGAGAATTGTGTTACTCTACAGGCTTGTAATCATAACTAAAGTATAAATGAGGGTGAATTTCAGCTTTATGGGTTAGATTTGATTCTGCAAAATAAATGAAAAAAGTTATATCCTATTTAGGTAATAAAATGGTTAAGGAATATTTTTGAATGTTTCGAACTGTTACTCACTGAAAATATAATTAAGAGTTAGGGTTTTTAGAAAGACATCCTCCAGCCATTAAAAGGACTCTCCAGTGGCAGGAAAACATATGTTTTCCAGGCACTGCAGAATCCTGCAGTTTCCCTCTCCCTACCACACCCATCCCCAGTTCCTGAAGGGGTTAAAACTCCTTGAGTGACTTACCTGAATCCAGCGCCTATGTCCCTCAGCGCTGGCTCAGGCTCCGCCCATGCTTCTCTCCCGCCGACATCAGTCGGCAGGCCAGACTTAATGCTCCTGCACGGCAATGGCCTCCTGCGTGCATTAGACCTCCCCATAGGAAAGCATTATCACTGGAGGTCCTCATGCATAGCGTGAGGACGTTCAGCGTAGTTTAAAATACTTTTCATGTCCTAAGAACACGGAAGTCCCTCTAGTCGCTGTCTGATAGCCACTAGAGGAGGACTTAACCCTGCAAGGTAATTATTGCAGTTTAATATGGGTCTGTCCCAACCCAAAATTGCTCAATACAATTAAGTAAAACAATAATTTCTCACTTTGTTTACATCGCTGGGACTTCTCCACTGCAGCCTCCAGCTTCTCTCCCATTGATATCACTGTCCAATCGTTTCTAATAGAAAAGCGATTGGAGACATGCATGCATGTCCAAGTGCTGCACTCTTCTAATCAAATGCTACTTTCAACAACATTTATTCCCAGACAGAGTTTTAATCGGTCTGGAGGAGTAAGTGCTTCTAGTGGTTGATAGGCACTGGAGGTGTATTTAACCCTTCAACGAAAACTTAGCAGTTTCTAAAAAACAAAACTGCAATATTTTGCATTGCAAGGTTAAAATGGCAGAATCAGTTCATTGAAAAGAAGTGGTTATAGTGTTCCTTTACATATGCCCTCTTAACTTTATCGTAACCAATCCAAAACTTTAAAAGGACACTATAGGCACCCAGACCACTTTATGCCAATGCATTTATTGGAGAGGGGGAAGACCGTTCCTCTAGTGTTATGAATAAAACTTTATATTATTTATTATGGGCATTTATAAAGCGCCTACAAATTCCGCTGCGCTGTACAATTGGGGAAAAAGACAAAAACAATAAGAACAGACCAATACAATAGGTAAGCCCTGCCCGTGAGCTTACAATCTATAGGCTAAAATGGGGAGATGAGACAAGAGGTAGCAGAGGAATTTGTATGTGATGGCAGAGAGAGTTAATGGTATAACTGCAGCAGCTGATAACATGTGAAGGTAATAGGGAGGTGATTGGCTGCGGTTCCAAACAGCTGGAGGTGCATGCTATATAGGTAGAAGCAACCAGGGTGGGCAGTTAGAGCCAAGTAAAGTTAAATGGCCTTCATGTTGCAGGGCTGGATGGTTTGGCTCTATATTTCTAACAATATAGCGTTCCTTTAAACCCCATCCAAGATAGGAGTCTTAACTTAACCCTTTAATAAAATATTCTAAAAATACTGATCTTACACTAAAAATAGCCTTTTTAATTTTTTTTATTTTCCATTTTACTTTTAAAAATTTGTAATGGAGTCATGCGGTTACTCTACATATTTGCTTTTGACCATTTTTATCATTCAGTTATGTCTTTCTATTTTTTATTTTCAACTTTTGTGCATTCTTTTACCCCCTCCGCCCCCCAAAACAGTGAAAACCTCTGGAATATTTTAAGCTATAGGAAGATATATATTTATTTTTACAATCCATTAAAATGAGGAATGCATTTCCAGATTAAGTTATGACTTATTTGATGCTTTATTTGAAGAAACAGATTTACACGGTTATGAAACTTGCACTCTGCACTTTGGTTTCCTAATATGTTGTAACAGCTCTGTATTCAGTACAATAAAGCCAACATATTCTGCAATGTTGAAGAACAAGAGGTGAAATACATTGGATACAAAAACTACAGAATTCACTGCATAGAAAAGGGAAAAAAATATTCTGTGCGTGTGAAATGTCAGATTTTAAGATCAGTTTTTCAAATGTCAGCAGTTGGATGACTATCGTCAGTCACAAATATAGGACATTAAACAAATTAGAATATATGAGACAATCTAACCATACATGTTATAAATAGGCGTTATAATAATTTTAGTTTACGTTAAATACACTTTTAGTTTTCACTGTCTTTATATCCGTGGAGTTCAGTAGGTTGTGCTTTTATTTTACTTAAAACTTTAATATTCATCATTTCACAAACCTACTAATTATTTTAGACAAATTAGATCTCAGAAGCATCGGATTCAACTCCACTACCAGGAAAAAGCTTGAAGACGTAGAATAAAATCTGGTTTGGTCAGAGGAATACAGTTTCTTCGCTCAAAAGATTTTATTGCAGACCACGATGTAGCAGCACACCACTGAAATCGGATCCTTTTTCCACCACGAGCCAATATTCCATATGGTTCTCCAGGAAAAGTGACACATATTGTCCTGCCTGAAAGGGAGAGTTCAGAACTGTAGTAATTTACAGAGACTACTAGAAAGATATGGGGTCCACAAGAAAACAATAACCTATACATTTAATATGAAGAGAAGATACAATTGTGAAATGTAATATGGGAAATAATATTATTGAGAGATAGTAAACCACAAATCAACATGTCATGTTATGCATCTGGTGTATATTTTATATTGAATTATTTAACGCCTTAAGGACCAGTGATGATCTATGCCATCTTAACAATCTGTTCTTTAAGGATTGTGTTCCTTTTAATTAAAGGAACACTATAGTCACCAGAACAACTACAGCTTTGCATGGAGACGCTTAACTTCCTCCTAGAGATTCAGTGAATCGTGCATTGCATGTGCAATAGCCTACCAATGCTTTCCTATGGGAAAGCGTCGGATTGGCTGAGATCATCAAGGTAAGTAAACCATCTTTTATTTTGCTGGCATGGGGGCAGGCCACCTAAACTAGGTTTTCACAGCCATAGTGACAGGAATACATGTTTGTATTCCGGTCACTATAGTGTTACTTTCATAAAATGATCACTATAGGCATCCACTAAATCTCATTGAAGTGTTCTGGGTGCCATTCCCCTGTACGGAAGCATTGGATTGGCTGAAATCATCAAGATTGCCGATGACCGCAAAAGAGGCTGGGGCAGCCATGGGGAGGGCACCAGGACAATTGAGAAAGGTAAGTAAACTACCTTATCATTATCATTTCACACAGGGAATAAATGTGTACAGCAGTGGTTCCCAAACCAGTTCTCAGTCCAGTATTAGCTTTTCTCCACTATTAGCTTTCTGCGTAGAGCTATGTGATACACAGTTGCAATAGTTAACTGTGCAGGATATAAGTGGTATACTTGATACTTTATTATCCAATATCCTACCAGGAAATATCTATGCCTAAATGTGTACTATTCACTTTTGACTTTTTTTGTATTCCATCTACTTAGAGAGATACTTAGATTTTTTTATAATCATTTTGTATTATTTTTTTTCACCCCCTTGTTCTACTTTATATACTATTTCTTTCTATGTATTTATCTACAGACTAGCTCAATACCCCCCTTTTTGGGGATATTTTAACGTCAATCAATAAAAGTAAAATTTTTAAGTGCTCACACCACACTAATTTATTTTGGTTTCTATGTTACTGGCAATGAGTTAGGCTAAAAGTGTGGCAATGTCTTGGTAGCAGTGGGTTAAATCTTGATGTTCCAGGCATTCCATTGTCTTTTTATGTACCTTCAACAACGTTTAACAGTTCAGAGTTGTGTGTAGATTAATAAAAATAATAAAGAAATAAGTGTATTGTGCCAACATCACCAGCAAAAATGTGTTAGAAGATAATCTTAACAGTCATGAGACATTTTTTTCTCCCTAAATTACTGTATTATCTTCTTATACTTTTAATTTTAACAAATTTGCGTTACCTGTAAGTGTAAGACTCCATTCAAACTGATTGTGTGAGGACCAGTCAGACTCAGACTGCTGATTTTTTGCAGGGATCTGGAGAAAGAGATTTTGTTAGGGAGGAATATGCCATGAACATTAGTTTTTATAGCAATTTATGGCTGGCATTAAGTAAAATTATCATAAGATTAGGAGAGCATAGAATTAATGCACTCAGCACAACATGGTATGTAAGGATTCATTAATGCCCCTATTGGTACTACATACAGATAAAGGGGCAAGGGTCCTAAAATATTTGTACCTTTTATTAAATTAAATGTAGGTGACATTAGTGGACCCTGGCATAATCTGTATACATTGCTTCTCTTGTTATCCTATAAACTATTCTGCCTATAGAAGGAGCGAAGTTGGAGTTGTCAGCACTGGCAAAATTCTTTTTCATTTTTGTAGTGCCGTAACCACACTTTAAGTTTTATTTTGAAAGCTTAACAGTTGAATATGATGCTTGCTCCATGCATTTATATCTGAACTGCCATGTCTACTTTTGAGTTAATTGGTAAATTACAGACAATTCCTGGTTTATGGAATATGTTTGTTCTCTTGTATGTGGTGCCTATCCTTGATATTTAAAGGATCACTATAGGGTCAGGAACACAAACATGTATTCCTGACCCCAGAGTGTTAAAACCACCATCTAGCCCCCCTAAATATAGAAAACTCTTACTTTTATTGCAGTCTGATGCTGCTGGCTCTGCCCCTGATCTGCCTGATTGGCTGACATCATAAGAAGTGTTGAATAAAAGCCAATCACAATGCTTTCACATATGATTAGCTGAGACTGTCAAGAAGGCAGATCAGGGGTAGAGTCAGCACAAGTCAAACACAGCCCTGGACAATCAGCATCTCCTCGTAGATATATATTGAATCAATGCATCTCTATGAGCAAAGTTCAGTGTCTCAATGCAGAGGGAAAAGACACTGAATCTCGGTGCTGCACAGTGTGCATCACTGCCTCAGGAAGCACCTCTAGTAGTCATCTGAGTATCCACTGGAGGTATCCCTAGGCTGTAATGTAAACACTGCATTTTCTCTGGGAATGATTATACTCACCAGAACAAATACAATAAGCTGTAGTTGTTCTGGTGACTATAGTGTCCCTTTAACTACAATTGCAAGTACACCCAAAGCATCATTCAATAAATCATGAAATTGCCCAGGTTATTTCAAATGTTAGTCAAAAAATTGATGACCTTTAATTGGATTCATTTTCCTATTAATTTATTTTGCCCTTTTGTTTGAAATTCTCTCACTTACAGGTTCTTCTGGCATAGGGACTGGATACAAAGTTGTACTTTAAAAAATCCATGGGTGTTCGTCTTAGTTTCCTGCACTGATAATCCTAAAAATAGATGTAAGGATGTTACAAAAATATAGCAACCAAAACATATATTTTAGTAATTTAGATATCAAAAATTACATTAAAAAACACAACTAGGGTATGAGAATACGTTCAGGAAACCTGTCTTAAAAATAAAATGTATAATATACCTACAGACTATCCTTATCACCAAGTATTTAATAATTAAAATAAAAAAATAGATCTGAATTTAAGAAAAAATTATTTTAAATGTTATGGAAGTGTTAAACATTTGTATTATTTCTTTATTAAAAAGAATTCACAATGACACTCTCATAATCTAGGAAAACAATAGCCAATCTGAAACGTACCAATGCTGAGTCTTGCACTGAAGGTATAAAGTCCACTAATCGGAGCTGTGTATCGTCCGCTGGTCAGATTGAACCCATCACCTATGTTGAATGATCCCTCGATGTCTGGCTACAAGATAATGTACATAGTTACATAGCCTGAAAAAAAGACTTGTACCAATCAAGTTCCATCTTACTCACATCTGTTTTTGCTTCTGATCCAAAAGAAGGCAAATCACTCAGTTTGAATTGCTTTCTTTGCATCAAACTAGGAAAAAAATATTTCTCAACCCAGATCCTTGGATCAAATGTAGGATATCATTTAAAAAAATAATAATTTTAATTTGACAATTTTTATTTTGGATCAGGTACAGAAATAAGGTAGAGAGGTTTAGGAGGAAAATTCCATTTTCATTTGTGTGGTTTACAACTTATTACAAACACGTTTAATCACATTAACTAGTATGAATACTTTTTTTTCAACTTTCATGGTATGCAGAAAGGAAGTTGGTAGGGTTAACTGTAAAGGTCTGCCCAGTAGGCTTGCGCATTACATTTGGTTCAGAGTTTACGAGTGCCTTCCCTCCGTATAGGGTCAGTCGCTTTAGTTGGTATGATGTCTCTCACTAGGCTGTGTTTGAGCATTGTATAGCTTGTCTTGCTTAGGTTGATTACGTAAGTTAGTCAGTCATGTGGATAGCTTCAGTGTTTCTCGTAAGCATGCCTAGATAGGTGAGTGCAGGTTAAGTGAGTCCCATGTCTTTCAGTCAAGTGTTGGATTGTGTGTAGGTATGCCTAAGGGTGTTGCCAGTGGCATCCATTCTCTAACCTAGATTCGTCCTTTATCTTTAACCGGGAAAAACAAGGCTCGTCCAGTGTGTAATGTGCGGCTTCGTATTATGTGGTACCAGTTGTTTTTTGTGTGTGTTGTGGCCCTTCTGCTTTTGTGTCACTGAGGTGTGTCCCACAATGAGCTTGTGCCTTTTCTCCTTTCTTGTGCGTTGTGCGATTCTGGCTACTTTGTTTGAGCGTATGTTGTGTCTCTGGTTATAAATTTTCGCAGTTGGGCTTTCGCGTCTGTCCAGTGTGTGAGATGAGCCTCCTTCTAAGTTTGTGTCTGGCCTGTTATACCCATCTGTCGTCTTGTGGTTTGCTCGTCCTTGTGTGTGTGTGTTTTTCACTTTCCTTGTGTGAGCGTTATTCGTGTCTTTGTTGCTTGTGTTTGCCCGTAGATGTCGATCGGTCTCCTTTCCTTCTCTCCATCTTCGTGTGGGCTGTGTCTTGGAGTGTAGCTCTCCATGTTTACTTAACTATCTTTGCTTCTCCAGTTTCCGAATTTGCATGTAATAATTCAGCGTATTGGTGTTTTGTTTGCGTCATGGCTAAGTGACACTATTCACAGATCTCGGTTCCTCCTGGCTTCAACCGTCCCAGACACATGTTATAGTACTGTGTGTGGGAACCCTCGGGGTTGTAAGTGTGTTGGGGGAGGGATATCGGGAAGGGCTGGGGGATGAAGCGTGTCAGGGCACGCGTGGGTTCCTTGGGTCTCCAGGAACCGCATTGCGTCTTCCCTATGTTCTGTTTTGTGATATATAGATATACCATGGTCTCCAGAGTTCCGTGTGTTTAGTGCTTCTCCCCAGCATTTCTGCATATCTCGCCTCTGCTGTGTGAATCTCTTCAATTCTTTTTAGCCAGTCTGCTTTGGTGGGTGGTTGTGTTTGTTTCCATCTGGCCGGTATTAGTGCCTTAAAATCGATCTTTTATATTGAGCTATCAAACTTTCGGTGTAGTGTAGGAGCACCGCTTCTATGGTTAAGTCGGGTATATCCCCCAGGATTGTCGTTGTTTCCAATTTTATTTCTTCCCAGAATGCCTGTATCAGTGTGCAGTCCCACCAGATGTGGCGTAGTGTGCCTGTTTGGGTTTCGCATCTCCAGCAGGTATCTGGAGTCCCCTGGAATATTCTGTGTAGCAAATGTGGGATATAATTTATGCATAATAAACACCACACCATACTATGTCTATTGTCTAATAATTCTAATTCCAAGAGAAATCATGTAACCTACTGTTGGGACCTTCTGGTATGTAAACCTGTGGAAAAAAATCTTCACAGCAGCTCTCTGGCCACAACCCCTCATCCAATACCACCGATCATTTTTTTTGGTGTGTATGTGGCAGTATAGAGGCCATAGCATGTATGGGGGTATGAGCAGTGATGCGTGTCTTTGTAGGTGACAGGGGCTGGATTGTGTGTGATAGGCTGCAGTGTAGAGAGATCAATATTGTAGTGAAGTGTAGTGTCTAGGCTGTAGTATAAGGGTTTCAGGCTGTGGTGTAGGGAGTAGAGGCTGTAGTGTAATGTAGCTGGGTGCTAAAGTGTAGGAGATGGAGACTGTAGTGTACGGCGTAAAGGCAGTAGTGCTGAGGGGGAGAGAAGCTGTAGTATAGGGGTAGATGCTGCAGTGTAGAAGGAGATAGGGTCTGTAGTGTAAGGGGATGTAGGCAATAGTAGTGGGGGTAGGGTGTAAGGGGATATAGGCAATAGTAGTGGGGGGTAGGGTGTAAGGGGATATAGGCAATAGTAGTGGGGGGTAGGGTGTAAGGGGATATAAGCAATAGTAGTGGGGGGTAGGGTCTGTAGTGTAAGGGGATATAAGCAATAGTAGTGGGGGATAATGTCTGTAGTGTGTGAAGGTGTAGGAGGGCCTGGGGAACATTACTGTAGTGGGGGACAGGGACTGCAGTGGCTATGGATGTTTGTGGGAAATATATATATATATATTTTTTTTTTTAAGTATCAAAATGTAAGTGGTGAGCGATGTGTTCCATGGGCAGGCACTAATGAAGAATTAAAGTGTTAACTAGAGGTAATGCTCTGATCCTATCCAGGTAACAATGAGCGTTTCCGCAATGCAATTTCCCTGGCCCCTATTGCAGTTCACTGATCCACTGGCATCAGAGACCAGCTGTTCCATTAGACAGACATCCAGTAGTGCCTCTGCCGGCAGCCTTAGCATGCAAGACATTTTAAGAGAGCTGCTTCCTCCCAATCTCTCAGGCTATAGGACTCCTCAGCTGGCTGCAGTCGGCCCTAAAACGAAGCAGGCCTCCTCTGAGGTGAATGAGCTGTTTTCATGGCGCCCTGTACAGCTGCACAGCTCGCACACCTCAAAAGCAATCCCTGCTGGTGTGCCCGTAATATGGTAGGCTCATTTTGAACACATTTTTTTTCTCTCTGTGATGTGTATATCCCAGTCCCAAAATCCCATTTTGTAGATTGTCCCTCCCTTTTTTTACACACATAACTCATCATTCTTCCTGCTGCAAAATTTTATTTTCTCTAACTAAAAGTACAGAATTCAACCAACAGAGTATTATTTGTTTATATATATCTTGAAAAATATATTGTTATGTCTCCAACATAACAATCAGCTGATTGCGTTTATGATACATAGGTTGTTCATATCCCATCATTATTTTAAAAACTCAACACAACAATGCCAAGTATCATATTTTAATATGTTGCTTTATCGTCTCCAGTTAAGCAGATATTGAATCCCATTATGGGCAATTATTTCTTCTTTGTCATTTTAGTTACTGGAAAACCCCTCGATATCTGTCAGTCATCCTGTTAATGATGCCCCATGGAAAATGATATATAGGGTACATTATCTGACCGGGAGCAACATCACTGATTTTCAAAACAAATATTACATATTTAGAACAGAGAACCCAAAATGTAGTTCACCAGATAGTTCAGAACTACAACTTCCATGATGCTTTACTATTCTAAAGACTTGTAAAGCATCATGGGAATTGTAATTCTACAATGACCTTTGGGCACCCCTGATCTAAAACACAAATAATCTCTTTTGAAAAACCTATAGAATACAAACTTCATACCAAGCTGGCTTAATTCAAAGCACCCTTTTTCACTCCTGCTATTAAATCCTGGGCTCCTCATCCCTACATCCACCTGTCACCTTTTGTAATTGGAAATTATTGGTGCAAATATCTACCGTTTCTTTTAAAGCTTTAATACAATTCTTTTTCACTCATCCCATTCATGTCTCCATATTTTGTACTCTAACCTGATGGTAAATCTGTAGTTCGATCTGGTTTCCAGGTTCCACACTGGCGTCCTGATCCGTCATGCAGGTGAAAGCCGCGTTCACCATTAAATGATTCCCGTGTCCTGGGGTATGCTTCCCATTCTTGCTTTTCAGAATATCTATGTAGAATTTATAATAATAATTAATTATAATAAAAATTCATCAGTGAGAGTTTCTTTTTGTTTTAAACCAAAGTTTTAAACCGGAATTAAAAAGTAATTTGAATTCCTTAAAAAAATTATATAATTGAATAAAAATTTTTTAAAAATCACAAATAACTTGTTTTAACAGATTTTTTCATGCCCCATTTCCTTTTAAATATATAGAGATTTAGCAATTGACCTAACATTCATGTTAAATCATGGCACACCCGGGGCAAAGTATGTTTTTTAAGTTATCACAAAAAAATTGACACAGTTTATATCATTGACAGAGAACCAACGATGGAGGCTCTCCCGCATAGACATAAATACAACAGGGTTGATATCTGTATTTAATTTCCCTTTTTAGATCCCACAAACATAATTCTTAAACATACGCAATAAGTAGACATTAAAAGGCTTATTTAGCTAATTAAATTTAGCGGCAAAAAAAGCCAAACTAGAAAAATTCTCCTGGTAAGCTATGCTGTCAGTTCATCTACTATGGCATTAGCATTCAAAATTAAATTGAACAATTCCCACTTTACAGAATATCCCTGTAATAATCCCATACAGCGACAGTGAAGTCCTTTTTCTAGGACATTTGTTTTTCCCTAATGTTTTTTGTTTAATATCATTAAAGGGACACTATAGTCACCTGAACAACTTTAGCTTAATGAAGCAGTTTTGGTGTATAGAACATGCCCCTGCAGCCTCACTGCTCAATCCTCTGCCATTTAGGAGTTAAATCCCTTTGTTTATGAACCCTAGTCACACCTCCCTGCATGTGACTTGCACAGCCTTCCATAAACACTTCCTGTAAAGAGAGCCCTATTTAGGCTTTCTTTATTGCAAGTTCTGTTTAATTAAGATTTTCTTATCCCCTGCTATGTTAATAGCTTGCTAGACCCTGCAAGAGCCTCCTGTATGTGATTAAAGTTCAATTTAGAGACTGAGATACAATTATTTAAGGTAAATTACATCTGTTTGAAAGTGAAACCAGTTTTTTTTTCATGCAGGCTCTGTCAATCATAGCCAGGGGAGGTGTGGCTAGGGCTGCATAAACAGAAACAAAGTGATTTAACTCCTAAATGACAGTGAATTGAGCAGTGAAATTGCAGGGGAATGATCTATACACTAAAACTGCTTTATTTAGCTAAAGTAATTTAGGTGACTATAGTGTTCCTTTAATATATGTACAGTTCAGTAAACAGTGGGCAGAAAGTTGCTAGGCAGTTTAACTGGAAGAAAATAAAACCTTGATGCTTTTGTGGTCTTCAGCAATCAGACATTGCATATTACCCATTGGACCTTAAACTTTGTTCCCGATTTCCATCATGGGAGAAATGTATTGAAGTATTGCATTCACCTTACTGCATATTTCACAAACATATAAAGTTTCTGGTGGCTCTAAAATGCCACAAAATAATTCACCTCCAGAGTTTTCAAAATACAGGGAGTGCAGAATTATTAGGCAAGTTGTATTTTTGAGGATTAATTTTATTATTGAACAACAACCATGTTCTCAATGAACCCAAAAAACTCATTAATATCAAAGCTGAATATTTTTGGAAGTAGTTTTTAGTTTGTTTTTAGTTATAGCTATGTTAGGGGGATATCTGTGTGTGCAGGTGACTATTACTGTGCATAATTATTAGACAACTTAACAAAAAACAAATATATACCCATTTCAATTATTTATTATTACCAGTGAAACCAATATAACATCTCAACATTCACAAATATACATTTCTGACATTCAAAAACAAAACAAAAACAAATCAGTGACCAATATAGCCACCTTTCTTTGCAAGGACACTCAAAAGCCTGCCATCTATGGATTCTGTCAATGTTTTGATCTGTTCACCATCAACATTGCGTGCAGCAGCAACCACAGCCTCCCAGACACTGTTCAGAGAGGTGTACTGTTTTCCCTCCTTGTAAATCTCACATTTGATGATGGACCACAGGTTCTCAATGGGGTTCAGATCAGGTGAACAAGGAGGCCATGTCATTAGATTTTCTTCTTTTATACCCTTTCTTGCCAGCCACGCTGTGGAGTACTTGGACGCGTGTGATGGAGCATTGTCCTGCATGAAAATCATGTTTTTCTTGAAGGATGCAGACTTCTTCCTGTACCACTGCTTGAAGAAGGTGTCTTCCAGGAACTGGCAGTAGGACTGGGAGTTGAGCTTGACTCCATCCTCAACCCGAAAAGGCCCCACAAGCTCATCTTTGATGATACCAGCCCAAACCAGTACTCCACCTCCACCTTGCTGGCGTCTGAGTCGGACTGGAGCTCTCTGCCCTTTACCAATCCAGCCACGGGCCCATCCATCTGGCCCATCAAGACTCACTCTCATTTCATCAGTCCATAAAACCTTAGAAAAATCAGTCTTGAGATATTTCTTGGCCCAGTCTTGACGTTTCAGCTTGTGTGTCTTGTTCAGTGGTGGTCGTCTTTCAGCCTTTCTTACCTTGGCCATGTCTCTGAGTATTGCACACCTTGTGCTTTTGGGCACTCCAGTGATGTTGCAGCTCTGAAATATGGCCAAACTGGTGGCAAGTGGCATCGTGGCAGCTGCACGCTTGACTTTTCTCAGTTCATGGGCAGTTATTTTGCGCCTTGGTTTTTCCACACGCTTCTTGCGACCCTGTTGACTATTTTGAATGAAACGCTTGATTGTTCGATGATCACGCTTCAGAAGCTTTGCAATTTTAAGAGTGCTGCATCCCTCTGCAAGATATCTCACTATTTTTGACTTTTCTGAGCCTGTCAAGTCCTTCTTTTGACCCATTTTGCCAAAGGAAAGGAAGTTGCCTAATAATTATGCACACCTGATATAGGGTGTTGATGTCATTAGACCACACCCCTTCTCATTACAGAGATGCACATCACCTAATATGCTTAATTGGTAGTAGGCTTTCGAGCCTATACAGCTTGGAGTAAGACAACATGCATAAAGAGGATGATGTGGTCAAAATACTCATTTGCCTAATAATTCTGCACTCCCTGTACACGTTTATCTGGAATTTCATTGGAGAGAGTTATGACGTGTTACACTGGCTAGTAATGTAGTGAGTTGAAGTTTAAAATATGGATCAATCACAGTGGAATCAAGAAGAATCAGAATTATCTTTTCCATATTTTTTTCCATGGTGATGTGTTTACTATCAGAAGTTTGCCCTGTGTCTCTACGAGTCACAGGTTAAACCTCCTTCAGTGACATAGCTAGACTAATACTATCAAGAGACCACGCATACAAACCAATCACAGAATATCTACCCATGTTGAATTGTGTTTTATTGCCTATCTTGAGATGATCCTTTAGCCTATGTACTGGTTAAAAATAATTTCAGATGCTTGCCACATCTATGTACGTTCTACATGTAATGTGCAAATCTTTACACCTGCCATAAAAAAGCTTTTTCTTTTTCTTCAGATTTAGGATATTTAATGTGTGACATGTCACGATTCCCTTTTATTCCAGAAGTTTGGTCCTTAAGGGGTTAAAGATATGTAAAAAATATAGCGTACATGGTTCCTAATTTAATATTGTTGGATAAACTTTTAAAGTGATTTAATATTATGAACAAATATTGCAATTTTGTAATATCTTGATATTGTTTTTATATATCGATATTTTTTGCATATGATATATTTTTTTTATATTTTAATAATTTGTAAAAATCATTTTAAAATGTATCCAAAAATATTACATCAAGGCCATGATTTCTTTGCAAAAAAAAACTGGCACACGTATGCGGTTTTGTTACAGGTATCTTTTTTTACATAATTTACATAATAGGAGGGATAACTATTGATTATATATGTGATATTATATTATGTTAATATCCTAATTTTGTGCATGATCAAAAACTATTGTTCATATTTGGTAGCATTAAAGAAATACCCCCAAGTGCACCATAACTGGAATATTAATTTAGATTAAATCAAACAATGATTAATGTTATTGTGCAACAGTGTAGGACGAGCTGATTGGTTCTCGTTATTTTTGTTGGTATGTTGTTTCGTACTTACCTTTCAACATTTGTATGAAAACATGTAGTATTTTCTCATGTGGAACTGCATTTGACAGGTGATTATGATGCTGTGGAGGTGCCGGAGGTCCTATAGGGCCCGGGCGATGATGCTGGAAACCAAAATACAAAGACACACCAATAATTTATAACAATATCCTCTTCTTTTCATGAGCGATGAACCCAATGTGTTTTAGTATGCGCTTGTTTAAAATGATAAAGAACAGGGTTAATAATCTAGAATTAAACAAAATAAACAAATGGGTTATAGCCTTCCAATATTCACTAAAATGAAATGTGTTTAGGGGCTTACATGATGGTGGTCTTTATGTCCTTTCTTCTTGATGCGATCTACACGATCTCTTCTCAAAAGCAGGAGCCAGGCTTCTCTTGGATCCCAGTAAGGACGCTTTAACACTGGAACCATTTGTGTTGATTGCTTTAATGTTGTGTGATATTGATATGGGGATGTTGGTGCAGGGGTATCTTGAAAGGGTAGCTCTGTGCCTGGGGCCTCCTGTACGGATTAAAGGCTTCAAATTAGACTTTACCCCTTTTTACTGCTCACATAATGCTCACTTGAAGTACCATCAGGCAATAATGTTTTGTTTCAGCATGTTATTCCCTTTGGTGGCTGGTTTAATTTTGAGGATGGAATGAACAAGATGGTGGCTCTGCAACCACTGGATAAGTAGGGGAGATGTATTAAGGAAAACGGATGCTATTTTGGGTGCAAAAAGCTAAATGCTGAGAGGCATCCTATTGGTTTCCGTGGTGATTTATATCACATTTTGCCACAGAAGAGCAACTGTTTTTCTTTTGAAGTCTACCCTAAGACCATTCGTTACATAGGTGTGGGAGCTGGCAAAATCAAGCAGGCTGGCAACGTGAGCTCAATGGATCAAGTGCCTCCTTCATTAATTAACAGGTGCCAAGCAGAACAAGGTGAGGAAACTGATGGTAATGAAAATCTGATGATTGTGATAATGCTGAGGCCTTTAAGAGGCTTTCTATGCAATGTCTCTTTCTGTTCTAGAGAAAACGTACAACTCAGTAAACAGAGACTTGTGAATTTACAACTAATAAGCAAAACGTAAATCACAGCTCAATTAAAAAAAAATGCAAAGGTTTGGCATGTAACCATATGAATTGACAACATTTTGACAATGGATTCATACATACAATAAAACAATATATATATATATATATTTTTTTTTTTTTTTTTTAGAAATGTCAATGTTTGCAGATGTAGGCCTGCAGTTTGTAATACTTTCTAAACGTCTTCATAGGGATTTGAATGAACAAGAAGACAGGCTAGTGGAAGGTAAGACTCGTTACAGAAAAATGCCCAGTTTGGAGAGTATCTGGGTTAACGGAAACACTCCAGGCACCATAACAACTTCATACGAATGAAGTTTTTTTGGTGCCCAGAGTGTTCCTTTAATAAAACCACCAGTGCGTGTTGCAGCAAGCAATTCACATAAAGTTGGGACCAGCACTGTTTGATTTAGTAGAAAAGTGTTTCTTGATTACCAAAGCAGACACATAGGGCAATAAATAGACATTAAATAATAGGTAGAGTTTATGCAATAGATTGATAAGTTAATTATTGGAATGCTGGCAAGTAAGCGACATGCAGTTAGGGTGTGTGTAAAAACTAGATCAAGTCTAATGTAGAAACTGTCCTTCATTTATACAGGCTTCTCAGTGGAGAAAAGACTCCGGTCAGTAACCATGAGATATCCTAGGGTTAGCTTTTGTACTGGATTTTAAACCAGCTGCTTACTACTTGTTAGCCTGCACTGGAATATTCACACTTTTTAGCTTAAACTCTAAACATACAGGGAGGGGGGCTGTTCGTTAAACTGGGAATTAAACAGAATTGACAAAGAATTTACAGGGTTATTCCCTAATGCGAGAAATCACAGTGAATTTCAAATTTAAAGTCAAAGTGATTAAATGTAAATTCACTCTACATTCTCACTTTTAGTAAATAACTATCTTAGTCTAAAATAGCTATAATGGAAACAAATTCTCACTTTTGCTATTTTTACCATTTGGCTGCTGTTTGATCATATCATGAAGATGACACGAAGGGTGTATTTATATATATAAAGTTAAGGCATTCCAAACCAATCCATAATATGTTCGTCATTTAAATAATCATCCATTATTGCCACTGGGATATATAAAATAATGTTAGAATAAGCAGTGCTTGAGTTTCTATGAACATGTTTCTTTAATAACCAAGTAGTGCTTACTTACTATTAAACATATACAAAAATTTAAATAATTAATTACTTACATCTATAATGCACATTGACTTTAAAATCGAATGACTGTGAACTCCATTTCATCTGGGACAATCTTTATTTTCTTTCAGCCTAAAATGTCATGTGCAGGGGAGTCCTGCTACTCTTTGTAAGAACACATCATATATATAAAATGCTACTCAATGAAGTCAGAATTGCTGGGGAAAGTTGTGGCCAAAATACCCAAACCTAGAAATAAAATTGGCTCAGACAATTTTCCTTATTTGGCTACCTGGCCATAAATTTTGAAATTCTCTTTGAATTCCTGGCATTTCTCACCTTGCACTCTGACAGTGAGAATCACAATATTTATTGCCATACATGTATCCATTTTCTGTGTGTGACATTTAGTCAGAGAGGCTATTGACTTACTTGAAATTTGGATCCTCTGTTTTTGTGGGTGCAGGCAGGTCCAGCACAGAGAAGAATCAACAGCACCCCCATACTGAGAGTCATGAGCAGACAGCGCAGAGGAATTGGCTTGTATTCCATATCCATTATGCTTGTTTACTTGTACAATAAATAAAAGTGACAGTTTGCACTGTATTGCACTGATTTGGCAGTAATACAGCAATACAGGAAAGCGATGATAAATTAATGCTCAAAGTGTAGGACCTACCAGTAGTACAGACCTTCTCACACACTCACTGATACTCAGTGTCACTAATACATACCAACAAAGAATCACAAATACACGTGCGGGGATGTAATACCCTCTTAGTGTTCTTAATAGAGAAAACAAGCTTCCCTAGTCTGCACTATCTGTCTCCTCTCCCTCTTCTGATCTCGCCTGCCTCTGTGCTGTTGTGTAATTCCTAGCAGTGCCTCCTCCTTGTAGCTGTCTTGTCCCTTCATATAGATAACAGGGCTGCACATCCAACTGTCCTGCACACACTCATGTGGCAGCACATATACTAAGCCTAAACTTCATCTTATTCCAAGAAAGAGAGTTAAAAGAATTTTGACTGTATGCAACTTTCAGAAATGCACACAAGGGCAGTGCCAGTACGTGACTCCAGATTTTGTGTCCTCCTTCTCAGAGTAACAATGTGTTTCAAAAGTTTTTTTAAAAACAAATTCAAGTAAATTTTGAGTTGAGACAGGTATGCACTAAAAATTCCTGGAGTATAAATTATTATTGGTATGAGCCCAGTGGGCAAAAAAAATCCATATCTTGGGAAACAATTAGCGATCCCAATAAACCTTGCATTGATAGCTCTTCCCCTTTAAATGTTAGGCCTAGAGCTCAGCTTGCCTGGACATAGATTGTATGTTGGACCCTGGGATAGCAGGTGTGGAGACAATGAAGGCCCCAGGGTGCTTTCAAGACATTTTCTATGTAGATAGAGGAACCAAGGTCTCCAAGGCCAATATAGAAGATTAGCAATCAGTGGCACTCCTGCTATACAAATCTTATTTAGATCTCAGGCAATGGGGGATTTGAGAGATATGTAACTGAGCTGAAATTCCTGCCTTGATGTATATAGATTTAGACCTAATCTGTGGCCTTGCTGAGACCAGGGGACCAGAACAAATAGATAGTTTTGGTGATTTCCCCAACTGACATGACTGGTAACCCTCCTTACTGTCTACTATTTTACTCCATCCAATGAGAACCCCAGGAGAATTTTTGGGGATGGCTACGATGACATATGCTGCTTCACGTTGTATGAAATTCTTAGACTCTGATCCCAGTGTCAGGACAACCAGGGGTACCCATATTCCTAACTGCAGATGTGTCTGTATCTACAGGGATAGAAAAACATATTACCAGAGTTTAGAGTTGCTGGGCTTAACAGAGAGAAATACATTATCAGGTGTCATCTAACAAGGTAATCCACAATACAATCCAAGGCCATGATTCCAGGGGAAAGAAAGGAAAAACTAGCTGAAGTCAGGGCCGGCAGCAAAATGTCATCCACTGGATCCAACTGATTAACATCAGGCAAGTGGAATGTTAGCTGAGACATTCCTCAACTGAGACATTCCTCAACTTGCAAAGCCTGAGTACCATTGAAGAATGCAGAACCAAGCCACCCTCAGCACCACCTCCTATAGAACAATAGGAAATAAGGCTTGCTGCAGAAGTGTGGCCATCACGCCATGCTAAAGACCTAGTTATTAATTGCTAGGACTATTATACTTACTGTTCCAGAAAGTATAAGCTCACAAAATATCTTCTGTTTGATGGTTAATCTGCAAGGTTTTCTGGTTCTTTGGTAAGAATATCTGCTTCACATGTGCTGCTTTTTTTTTATAATTTATTACGGGAACCTATCTGTAAAATGAGAAAGAAAACAAGTTATGCTTGGGTAAAAAATCCACAGCCCATGGACTCAATCAAAGTGCTTGTCATGCAGCTACTGTATGGTCCATGTTATTTTCTAATAAATGCAGAAGATCTGTAAAGACTTTAACAAACAATTCACACACCAACCTAAGAAGAACCATACAAGAAGAACCAATCAGCTTTTTCTATCACCTCTCCATATCTTCCCCCATAGATAGCAACCAAGATTTCATGGATCTGGGTTTTATGCAGATAAAAGAAGTTGGATTGCAACCAGCCCTCAGGACCCTCAAAGTTGATCGACAAAGCTTGATGACTGGAAATCCACTTTGCAGGTCAATGTTTTGAATCTTCTTCAGACGTTTGGTATTGCTTGGTGATCCTACCTTGGTTCGAAAATCTTCTGTCTGGTTTGTTCCACGATCTTCGGTTTGTTCTAAAACCGTTTTACTACTTACAATGAGGAGGTGCCAGGTATCTCCTGGCACCATAACCAATAGAGAGTGCTGAAGTGGTAGTGGTTCTTGGACTGTTCCTTCAATTAACAACTATTTTTGCTTTTACCTCGTTTCAAAAATTCCAAATATCAAAAATAACTTTTTTTTTTGTCAACCATAACTCTCACAATCTTGGCTGAGCACTATTTGTATAGTATTAGAAAAACAAACACTAGAGGGTGCCAAGTCTTACTACATTTGCCTACTGGTAGGCTGTTCTCACTAGAAAATGCGTCAGGGTTTTTATTTCTGTAAATAATGAAATATGAAGAGTTGACTGAATAGCAAAATATAAAATCTAGGACAAACAGTTAGCTGAAGAATTGAACAAATTTTTATTTTGGTCTAATTTTTTTTTTCAGTTTGATAGTCATCATAGTTCTCCGACCCACAATAAAGCATCACAGAAGTATTTATCTATATAAACAACCAGTTTATTGGTTTGGAAACTACAGGTTTAACTATCTAAGTATAAAAAAAGTTAATTTTACATTATAAATCTATATTAATTACATTAGTACACCAAATAGGCACGACAACTGAAATTTGTTATTTTATGTGCTGTCATCCATTGGAAATGCAATGTGATTTGCAATGTTTCTGCAATATTGATATTTACAATAGAGCTTCTAAATGTTAATAACAGTAGAGGATAGCTGGATCGAACATAAAGAGGTCCAAGAATAAAATTGATGTGTGTAGTCTTTGTGTAGTCTATGCTTCTAAGGTGCTTGTTAAGCCTCTCTCTCTGGATGCTCCTGAAATCTGTCTGTCCACTTGGAAATGTCCATGAAGATTGACGTGGAGCAGTGGTACATCCAACGGCTAGGAAGGGCTCCTTCCCTACTCCAGACATCATTGGTGCAGTCATAGGATTCCATTACCACGCTGTATTCACGCGCCATGCCATGCCAATGTCCACCTGTCACATACAACTGTGATCCAATCGGAGTCATGCCGCCATTCTCATGAAGGGTGTGCAGCAACTGCACCTAAATAAAGACATGAGAATACAAATATTGATTTAAATAATGTTTCTGTTTTCTTAATCTGGAGGTGGAACTATGCACTCCTGGTCCTCGTTAAATTTACATTGATCATAGAGTGAACAGCCATATTGTACAAACCTGCTCCTAGTGATATTAATAATATTTGGGAACCTGACACCTGTGTTTCATGAAAACTTTAATCATGACAATTGGTAATGCAAAGTGCTGCCCATAGTTCATATCTGCAATTAATTCAAACTAGCCAATAAAGATTCCTTAATCGATTACGGAATATCAAGAACACTGGGCAGTTATAACTGTGTCTCCATCTTTCTTCTCCCTAGTTAAATAGACACTCTAAATACCAATATGACAATGCTTCTTGTAAAGGTTATGGTCAAAGGTACCTGTTTCTCTGAATTATGTTACTTATGCATGCAACAATTGGCAGAAAACCACTACATGATCCATATGAATCATTAAACTGATCAAAGTTATCATCACTTAGTTCTATCGATCATCTCACATTTCCTCTTAACTGTAATTACGTCTGTAGAAATTGTGTTTTACTGGCAGAAGTGCAAGTCTTCTACAAAACGAATAAAAGTGAGCTACGTTATAGCGTAATACAAATGTAACTATTCTGGTTACATTGTGTTAAATTGTTTAGTGTATTTCATATCCAAAATTAATCATAATTTGGAGATCTGACCAATGTGAGATTTATATATATTACAATGCCTAAATAGATGTACCTGACCATTGAATCTTAGGAACAGGAGTCTGGATCCATTCTAAGTTACAACATTATTTCCCAAGCAGTTAAATCTATATATTTAATTATTTATACACTTTAACGTGGCCAAATTCTATCTCCAGCAATAGTGTAGCCATATTTATTTATTATTAATATTTACATAACATCAGTATATTCCGCAGCTCTTTATAATTAGAGAAAGGCTCTGCTCAAATGAGCTTGCAATTTATGGCAGGCAAATAAATTGTTGCCGAAGAAAATTAACTGGTAAGGTGGACTGATTGGGATTAGAACCTAGATCTTAGACACTGATTCTCTTTGATTGTGTATCCATGGTTATGTAATTACATTATTTTTGCTTCTAGAGGATTCCATTTGGCTATAACAGGTTATTTTTCCTTCATGTAATTCACAGTGGAATGTTTATAATGATTAATTGTTAATATACCTATATTGAATTTTATATACTTTTTTTTCTTTCTTGCCTTTTTTTTTATTTATTTGGGCAGAGGGCTCACATAGAGGGTGTGATAAGCTACTTTTTTATAGTTTATTTTTAATAATATTGCATACATTTACAAGAACAGTTCTACTGAATTTATGAAAATGTAGCGCCACCTAGTGGTCTCTTAATGTTTTCCTTCATGGGCCTCCACAAAGAGCCTTGGCTTTCATCAACTTATTTTTCATACAGCCAATTGTTCTCTCTGATTGTATTTAAATTCAGTATATTAATTAACCGGTTTTATGTTTGTTTGAATAAAAGGAACCTATAACTCTTATATCCCCATATCTTTAAAAGTACAATTCTGCGTTTGGTTTTAGTTCTATATAATCCACAGTTTGGAGAGATAAGCTCCTGTGACTAGGAAGCGAAATGTAACAAAAGAAACCTAATAATTCAAAAATTCTAAAGATAGTTTCAGATCATACACTGCCATAATGTACAGACAAACTTTCATATAACCCATTAAATATTCTCAAATAATTTATTGTGAATTTCTTGGTATAAATGTTTGTGAAACTATATAGTACTGGCAAATCACATGATTGTGGCCCTGTTCCATTACTAGCCCTGAGTAGCAGTTGTGTGGCCGACTGGGGAGGGAGCTGTGTTTTAAGTTCATTACTGATGTTCAATCACTCGGAAGTGGCGTGGTGGAACATCAGTATAAAGTATCATGTTGCAGGTATCATATCAGCCGTGGAAGATATTTCTCACCTCTGTTCTCACTTATCCTTCATGGCGCACAACACATAAAGTACCAACTTATGGTAGCTGGATACATATACATGTCCTTCATCGCCTAGAACTTTAAGGTACGAGAGAGCAGCGACAGAAGAGCAAGGAGGTGGGACCAAGAGGGACAAAACGGAAAGCTGGCACGAATTAAGAGATTGGGTTCGGGTGTACCTAGCAATGCCTCAGTTTAGCCCTGGCAAGAAGGTGCAAATTCTCCATCTAATTCCACTAGTATTAATAGATGAGAATTCTTCCTTTTGACCTTTCTAGATAGCTTGTGGGAAGTGTGAGAGACAGAGGATTATTTTTAAAATAACCATTCATGCTCTATTTAAAAAGTATTTGCCTTAACACATCCCACCCTGACTTTACTAACCTTCTTCCACATGTTGGCTTCTGGTAGATACATATAGACCTTCTTGGTGTTATCAGCTACAAGATACACTGCACCACCCAGAACGCAACAGCGAGGAGATGACAAGTACTTTGGAATAAATGGTGAGGCGATAACACTCCAACCATCTAAAAGACACAACAGGACAGGATATTAGACACAACACAACATGACATTCTCAAGAGATAACTGCAAAAAATGTGTTTTCACAATACAAGTTAAAGGCATTAGATGGACTTTCAATGCTCAATATAATTTATTTTAGACAATAAACTTAGAGTAATCTAGAATGGCTCTACTTAACTCATGGACACATTCTGTGATAAATTCAATGATAATGGCTGGAACATGAGCTGCGGGGTTAATGAAAATTATTAATATTAAACTGGTAAGATTATTAGTAGGTAGAGTATTGCATTCTATTGGTGACTCTAGAGCAGTGGTTCCAAACAGACAGGGTTATTCTATAAAGGCATACCAATGGTTCAAGTTTGCCAGTATCCTCATTGGATAAAAGTTCTGTAATACTAAAGTGCCTTGGTGACTGGACTGGAGACTAGGGATGTGCATGGTCAAAATGTTTGGTTCGGTTTGGCACTTCGGATTTCAGAATTGCCGAAATTCGTCCGAATTGAAATTCGGACCGAAACAAATTGCACATGTCTACTGGAGACCACGGCTCTAGTCTAATCTAATTTTCCACCCAAGATTTTGTATAAATGACACATGTATGTGCAAAATAGTACTGTAGTAATAGTAGAAATTATGGGCACTAAGAAAGTATTTATTTTGGAGGGTTTGTAAATAACGCTATCTGTTATGGGGATCTATATACCATTAGAGATGTTTAAAAGAAACGCAGACCTCCATTTAGTTGACCTTACAGACAGATGTATGTGATAAACTGTAAGAGGAAGAGGAATATAAAGATTACGTGATCTACTAGATTAGGATTTAACACTTAGAATTGCAATATTTTAATTGTCTGGAAAATGTAACATAACTAGATAATGTTTGTTGCTTTTTTAGTGCACAATAATGATAATGGTATAAAACAAATAAAGTTATTTTTTTGGTATTTCACTTACAGTTCAGCTCTTTGTGAAGAGCCAAAAAGGGAGATTTATTCAGCTGACTTTAATAGTTTACTACACTGAAATAACTGAGTTTGCCATTTTGTAAATACCCAATTGATTACACAAAGCAAATACAGGCACTCCACATAGAAAATGTTTGTTTTAACCTGAGTGATCTGACAAATGATTCATGTCAGAAACGTTAATGATGGAGAAACCTACGTTTATGGTAAGGTTTGTAAGTAAGGTAGGTGAGTAAGTAAATATTGCAGTTAGCATGTTTATATTTTGGTCCTTACAGGAGCACCGATACTGAGAAATCCATGCTCCGGTGTGTCCCTAATTCTATTTTTTCTGTATGTATTTGGAAACCAGACCAGATTCATTTTGAGTTGAGCAACCCACCCCTTCATTAAAAGTGCATCTTTGAAAATGACTACAGAAAATCACAAATATGAGAAGATACTTTGGAAGCAGTTTAAGCAGTAAGTATTGCATCTCCCATGTTAAAATGAGTGTAGAATACCGATATTGGGGTGCTGTGACAGCGGTAGGCTTAACACAATATGGCCATTTGGTGTAACTGAATTCCTATATTTTATTGCTAAAATAGGTCATTTTAAGTAACTTTGTAAGATTTAAAATTGTATTTTTGCGTGTGTGTGCGCTGTTCCTTAAGCTCTATTTTGTATTTTGGTCTTTACAGCAGCATCACAGCTTAGAAATACATTCTGGTGTTCCCTCCCAGTGCCCTTTTTTCTAGGTTTACAATAGTGGTCCACTCATACCTATGGCAGGATTGTAGCATTGAAGGGTGAGCGCATTATACTTCATTGCACAGGAACCAATCAAATACAGTTTGCCACTGCACCCCACCGCAGAAAAGTTACTGACATACTTGCGGGCAGGACTCACGGATGCCCATGTGCCAATATAGGGGTCATAACATTCTACCTCCACGGCATCCTGCAAGGTACCTGGGAAGAGAAGAGAGAATATGTATATACACGTATAATTGTGATTATTTGTTTAGAAACCACCATCAAGTTCCATCACACTCTTCAATATTATACAGTTACAAATTATTTATTTATTTATAAAATATTTAACAGGAAGGATACATTGAGATTTCTCTTGTTTTCAAGTATGTCCTGGGTCCACAAAACATTGCATTGTTACAATAGGATACAACAGGCAAAGTCAACCTTCGGCACTCCAGATGTTTTGGACCACACCTCCCATGATGCTTTGCCAGCATTATGGGTGTAAGAGCATTATGAGGGATGTAGTCCACAACATCTGGAGTGTCGAAGGTTGCCTATCCCTTGGATACAATATTACAAAAAATACAATATACAAACAATATATATATATATATATATATTTATATATATATATATATGCTCATTCAGTTTCTCCTTTTCTATTGATACCTCCTCCCCTCATCCTGTCTCGGTTGGAGTCCCCCAAGGCTCTGTACTTTGTCCCCTTCTATATTCTCTTTATACTGCCTCTCTTGGCAAACTTATTATCTCATTTGGATTGCACTACCACCTGTATGCTGATGACACCCAGATATATCTCTCCTCCACGGACCTCTCCTCTGCTGTCCTGCAACGTGTCACTGCTTTCCTTTCTTCTATCTCTGACTGGATGTCCTCCTGCTTTCTGAAACTCAGCCTCTCTAAAACTGAGCTCCTTGTCTTTCCTCCTCCTAATACTGATCCTCCTCTTTCGCTCTCCCTTCAAGTTAGGGGTATCCACATAATTCCATCCTTGCAAGAGCGCTGTCTTGGCATCATACTTGATTCTGGCCTCACCTTTGAGCCTCACATCCAGCATGTTGCCAAATATTGTAGATTACATCTTAACAAAATAGCTTGCATCCGACCCTTTCTTACGCAAGATGTCCTCTCATACCTCACCCCTGTCAGTTCTTACATTGGCTTCCTGTATCCTATAGGAGTCAATTCAAAGTGATAACCCATACCTATAAAACACTGAACAATTCTAGCCCCTCATATCTCTTCACAGATCCATAGGTATGCCCCTTCCTTGACTCTCCGCTCTGCCTGTGACCTTACATACCTTTCTCTTGCTCTCTCCTAAAGGGCAGCACTCTACTCTCTCATCCAGCTCTGCTTCACTCCCACCTTATTTGATTGCTATTTCCTGTCCTAATGTGTTTTATACCCCACCTCCTATAGACTGAAAGCTCGTTTTGGCAGGGTCCTCTTCAACCTATCGTTCCTGTAAGTTTTCTTGTAATTTTCCTATTTATAGTTAAACCCCCCCTTTCATAATATTGTAAAGCGCTACAGAATCTGTTGGTGCTTTTTTAAATGGCAATGATTACGGAAAATGTATTCATACTTACCGTAATTTTCTTTTCCTGGCTATTATTCATGGCAGCATTTAACATATGGGTTTAGCTCCTCCCTCTAACCCTCAGGACAGGAAACACAAACAATTAAACAATTAAGCATACCTTCCCCTGGTATAATAGGAACCCCATCAGCCATCACACCTCAGTCAAGTAACAAGACGAATATCCAAAAGAGGGTGAGAAAACCAAATGCTGCCATGAATAATAGCCAGGAAAAGAAAATTACGGTAAGTATGAATACATTTTCCGTATTCCTGGCTAATCATTGCAGCATTTAACATATGGGATTCCCCAAGCAATAATGACACAGGGAGGGAAATAAATGCTACAAAATAGTTTAATAAATAAATCAGCTCTGAGGATTAAAGGAGTTCAGGACAGACAGGCCAAACTCCGAATCTGGGCGAGAAGCCACATCCACTTTGTAGTGTTTCACAAAGGTCTTTAGGGATGACCAATCTGCAGCCTTACATATGAACACCTGACGCTGGAGGTAGCAATGGATCTTGTGGAATGAGCTCTGATGCCTTTGGGAACAGGAACATCCCTAGCTTTATAAGCCTTGGAAATCGCAGATACTGTCCAGGAACGAAGAGTGGAGACAGAAGTGGCTTCCCCTTTACGAGAACCCCAAGGTATAATAAATAATTGAGAGGATTTCCTCCAAGTAGCTGAGCGTTCAATATACATCAGCAAACATCTCCAAAGATCCAGCATGTCACACCTTGACTCCTCAGGAGTAGAAGGATGCTGAAAATAGGCAGGCACGACAATCTCCTGTTGGAGATGGAAAGGTGTAACCACCGTGGGAAGAAATTCAGGTCTCGGATGGAGAATGACCCTATCATCGAAGAAGGAAGTGTAAGGTTCATCGGCTGATAAAGCTCTGATGTCAGACATTCTTCTAGCTGAGACTAGAGCAAGCAATAATAGGGTCTTCAGAGAAAGGATGTGCATCTGAATTTTGCCAATAGGTTCGAAGGGAGGATCTGTGAGAGCCTGAAGCACCAGAGGCAAATTCCAAGGTGCAGCCAGTTGTCTAATAGGAGGTCTAATCCGTAAAATGGCCTTGAAAAAGCGAACCACCATAGGATGAAGCGCCCATCGAATCCCAGAAAGAGCAGAGATAGCTGAGCTGAAACTTTAAGGGTGTTAAGACTAAGACCCTTCTCCAGGCCAGCTTGTAGGAAACCCAAGACTTGAGAGATCGTAGGAGGACTCATGTTCTGCACGGTTGAATTTGACCATATCTCAAAGGCTTCCTAAATTTTGTGGTAGGTAGAAGAAGTGGAGATCTTTCTGGAACATAAAAGGGTAGAGACCACCTGGTCCGATAAACCCTGTTCCTTTAAGGATTGCCTTTCAGAAGCCATGCATGAAGCCTGAGCTTGTAAGGTTCTGGATGAACCACTGGGCCTTGTGTCAGTAGATCTTCTGTGACCAGAATTTCCCAAGGTTCCACTATCGCCAACCTCTTCAGAAGAGGAAACCAAGGACGTCTCGGCCAGAAGGGGATTACAGTAATCACTCTGCAATGTTCTCTGGAAATCTTCCTCAGCACTGCATGAATGAGAGGAATGTGGGGAAAAACATACGCCAGATGAAAGGGCCATTTCATTGAAAGAGCATCTTGATCCAGTGCTTTCGAATGGAATGGAGGGAGAGATTCTGATCGCCATGGGGAAGACCCCACCTCTGGACCAATTGTTGAAACACAGGCCTTGAAAGATGCCATTCCGTGGCTTCCACCTGGTGTCTGCTGAGGAAGTCTGCTAACACATTCTCCTTCCCTGGGAGAAAGACCGCACGCAGGCCTTCCACATGTATTTGTGCCCAGTTCATGATTGCTGTCACTTCTTTCATCAGTGAGATACTCCTGGTGCCTCCTTGATGGTTGAGATAGGCATCAGCCGCCTTATTGTCTACTCTTAATTTTACCCAGGCTCCCTTTATCTGGTGCTGAAAGTGGAGAAGCCAGAGATGTCGTTCTCAACTCCCTTATTTTTGAAGGCAGGTTCTGAGGTAGTGGTAGATGGCAACATCCCTCCTTCTGAGAAAAGCAATAACTGTGACCAGCACTTTCGAGAAAGTCCTCGGGGCTGCACTTTTTTACACAGAATCGAAGAAACTTCTGATGCCTGGCTGTGACAGGAACATGGAAGTAGGCGTCTCTCAGATCTATTGAGATTAACCAGTTTCTGTGGTGTACCACGGGAATGATGGAACGGATGGATTCCATGCGAAACCTTCTTACCCTTAAGAAGAAATTTAGCTGGAGTAGGTCTAGAATAGGTCTACACTTTCCTCCCGGTTTCTTTACCAAGAACAGGGGAGAATAGAACCCTTGGAAACTTTCCATCACTGGTACCAGAGCAATGACCTTTTCTTGTAATAGATTTGTTACATAATGAGTCAAGACGTCTCTCTTTTGTCTGTCGACAGGGAGTCTTGTTCTGACTAATCTTGGTGGAGGGGAAAATTCTTTGAACTCCAGAGAATAACCTGTTATGATAATGGACTTTACCCAGGCATCTGGAATCATACTCCAAGTCCTCTGGAAGAACATGAGACGTGCTCCGACATGAGGGACCAGGCCTAAGCCACCTTCAAAACTGTCTGATAGGGTTAAAGGAAGAATTTTGAGCCTTAGGTCTGGAAGACTTTGAGATTTGGCCACTCTTCCAATTGGAGAGCCGAGAGTATTCTCTGCCTGGTCGATAGGTTTTACTATTCCTGTATACCCCTTGAGGCCTGTAAGGACGATGGTCCTGTTGTGGTATTTTCGGACACCTGTCTTGTGGAAGCATGATTTGCTTGACCTCAGCTGCCTTTTTAATGGCTTCTTCAAGCGGTCTGCCAAAAAGCACCTCGCCCAAGAATGGTAGGGTGCATAAATTATTCTTAGAAGAGAGATCAGCTCCCCAGGATCTCAACCACAGAGCCCTTCTAGCAGTAACGGAGTGTGCCATAACCTTTGAAAAAATCCTGATGAGGTCTGTGGAGGATTCCAACAGCCAGTCACTGGCTAGTTTAATCTCACTTACAGAGTCCATCATGTGGCGTCTACTCACTCCTCTCTCTATATCCTCCTCCAAATCGAGGATCCATGAACGTAATGCTCTGGACAAAGCAGAGATAGAGACTGCAGGATGACATCCCAAGCCTGCTGTCATGAAGACCTCAGAAAGGTCTACATCTATTCTTTTATCCATTGGTTCTTTGAGAGAAGTATTACTATCAATAGGCAGAGTTGATCTTTTTGCCACTTTAATAATTGGAGCATCAATCTTTGGGACCGCAGTCCACGTTCGTGAATCCTCCTCCTTAATAGGGTAAAATTTTGACAATCTGCCCTGACTTGTAATCCTTTTCCCAGGAGTATTCCATTCTGAGCGTATCAGCTCCTTAATGGATCTGTGTACTGGAAAGGAAGGTCTCCTATTGTGGAGGTCTCCGAAATGTCTATCAGAGGTCAAAATTCTCTGACTTCTTCTGGCAAATCCAAAGTTTTTCTGACTGCCATGATCAGATGTTCCATGGAATTAGCATCTAACGAGCATGGTTGCTCCATGAGCTCTTCCTCACTAGAAGAGATAGGCTCTAATTCTAAGGAACCAGCCGTGTGTCTGAAGTCTTCTTCTGAGAAGTCGGATTCTCGGCCAAAGCTCTCACATCTGGGTCTTTTACCTCTATTGGATTCTGAAATCCCTTCCGTCACAGCTTGTTTTATCCAAATGCTATATCCTGAGCCAAGGATATAGAGGCTTGAGGTGACCTGTGAAGTTCCGACTCTCCTGCGACCATGGATAAGCACTTGCGGCATAGCCTGCAGTTATCCAAAGGCCTTGCATCACATCCAGGGCAGGCCACCGGTTTATCCCTCTTAGATGGAGATCTAGGGCCAGACCGGTCTTGAGGGCTGTAAAACACAGAAGTCATATGACTGTACCCTCCATGCACTCTTTTTAATCATAAGAAATGGTAAAAAATTCTAATGCTCACCTATGACCTATTGCAGATCTTGCTGATTTTGCAGAAGGAGATTCTGGATCCATCCTCTTAGAAGGGCTATATAACAAAAGGTTATCCAAATTGAATTCCATTGATAAATGCTGAGCAGTGTTATTATGTAAATTAAAGCACAAAACATACCTGCAGAGAATGAATGGGGCACTTAGAGAGCAGTGTAAGACCAAAAGGAACTGAAAACGCTAGATAATTTCCTGCTCTGTGCCTTTAAGGAGGCGCGCATGCGCCGATTGGCCGCAAGTCCGCGGCTCCGCGTTCTTGGATGAGGGCAAATATGCCGAAAATCCGGCCGTGGCCATTGTGCATGCGCGGGCGTCTTACCGGACGGATGATCATCTGATCGAGGTCTGGATTTTTTATCATACATACATGGCTCCCAGGGGTTTCCCTCTCGTGCAGAGAAAGGGCTACATGTGCCTGGGCTTCCTGTGGAGAGAGGCTGACCTCCATAGGGTGAAGATCATAGCAGCATGATCAGGTGAGCATAAAAAAAAAGTTTTAACCCTAAAAATTTTCAGGGAGAGAAAAAATTAACAACTGTCCTAGGGCTATGAGGACAGGAAAAAAAGTCTGAGGTGTGATGGCCGATGGGGTTCCTATTATACCAGGGGAAGGTGTGTTTAATTGTTTAATTGTTTGTGTTTCTTGTCCTGAGGTTAGACGGAGGGTTAGAGGGAGGAGCTAAACCCATATGTTAAATGCTGCCATGATTAGCCAGGAAAATAATAATATACATACACACACGCACATATATAAATTTAACACATAACAGGTGATAAATATATTCAGCCATGACAGGTGCATTCTGTGCTGAGCAGTGGCGTACACATGACCCATGGGGCCCCGGTGCGAAAATTGATTCCTGCCCCCCCCCCCCGCGCGCGGGTCGGCCGCAACACATGGTGCGCCAGTGCATGCAGATGCACACACACTTAAAGGACCACTACAGACACCCAGATCACATCAGCTCAATGAAGTTGTCTGGGTGTCCGGTCCCTCTAGTTTTAACCCTGCAGCTGAAAACATAGCAGTTTCAGAGAAACTGCTATGTTTCACTGAGGGTTAATCCAGCCTCTAGTGGCTGTCTCACTGACAGAAGCTAGAGGAGCACACTGAATGTCCATAGGAAAGCATTGAGTAATGCTTTCCTATGGGCGGTTTGAATGCGTGCGCGGTCGCATTCGGAGCTGAGAGGCTGAGGGATCCCCAGCGCCAAGGGAGTCCGGCGCTGGAGAAAGGACTCTCACTTACAGACGCATACACGCTAGCTAACAGACACACACATTTACTGACAGAGACACACTCAGCGACAGACATACATACACACTCACTTACAAAACATACACTTTCATTGACAAACAAAAACTCACTAGCAGACATCAAACAGACTCACTAACACACACACACTCAGTAAGACACACACAGTAACACACTCACTCACACACTCTAACACTCACACACTCTAACACTCACACTAACACTCACACACACTAACAGACACACACACACTAACAGACACTCACTCTAACACTCACTCTCACACTCTAACACTCACACTCTAACACACACACTCTAACACTCTAACACTCACACATGTTTTTTTTTTTTTTTTAAATTTAATCCCCCCAGCCTCCTTACCTTTTGGAGTGCTGGGGGGATTCCCTGGGGTCCAGTGGTGGTGCTGCTGGGCTCCTGGGCGGGCGGGTGCGCGAGGGAGCACTCAGTGCTTCCTCTTCAGTTCCCTCGCGCGCCGCTTAGGGATGCCGGCGCCGGAAGATGACGTCATCTTCCGGCTCCGGTATCAGTGCGGTGCGCGAGGGAGCTGAAGAGGAAGCACTGAGTGCTCCCTCGCGCGCCCGCCTGCCTGCCCGACCGGCCACCTGCCTTCCGGGTGTCAGCAGGGCCAGCCTCGGGGGGCCCTGGGGTGGCCGGCTCCTGGGCCCCCCAGGAGAAGAGGCTGTCCCTGTGGCTACATACCGGGTCGCAGGGGCGGCCGGGCCCCCTGGTGGGCCGGGCCCGGTCGCAGCCGCGACCCCTGCAACCCTGGTATGTACGCCACTGGTGCTGAGGTATGTTGTCATAGATCTCTTAGATCTCAAAAGATTTTAGATTGAATGAAGATTTGACTGTGTCCCTGAGGTTATTCCATAATTGCGGTGCTCTGTAGGAAAAGGAGGATCGAGCCACGTTATTTTTGTATTGCGGTATGCTAAATATCGTGCTAGTACTGGATGAGAGGTTATAGGAGGTGGGAACAGCTGGGGAGTGCATTCTACTCAGGTAGGGTGGGAGCTTCCCAGAAAAGCTCTTATGCACAAGGCTGGAAAGATGAAGAGTGTGTTGGGATTCTAGCGATAGCCAGTTAAGCTCTTTTAACATGTCACAATGGTGGGTAAAGTAATTACATTCTAGTACAAAGTGGCAGAACGAATTATATATAACATATTAAGGTGTGTTTGCGATGCAGGTGCATACACGATGCAGGTGCATACACGACATCCCCATAATCAATGACCGGCATTAGCATTTATCTGTTTCCTTACCCTAGTTTTGGGTAAAGTTTTGAAGAGATTTATTTCAATGTGAAGGCCAAAGGATAGATTGGGGTCTAGCAACATACCTAGATATTTGAAAGTACAGACTGCTGTCAGTGTGCTATTTGAATTTGTTCTGATACACAGTTGTTAATTTTGTAGTTTAGGTAATTTAGGTACAGTTCCAAAGGTCATTGTCAGTGTTTTGGAAGATTTTGTTAACAGCTATCTACCTTTCTACCTCTGTGAATTGGTTTTGGAGCACAGACTCAAGCTGCAGTAGATTGGGTTTACTAGCATAGATTACTGTGTCGTCTGCATACATGTGTACAGTTGAGGATTTGCAGACGTTAAGCAGATCATTTATAAATAATGTGCATAGCAGGGGGCTGAGTATGAAGCCTTGGGGAACACCATACGTGACTGGAAGAGGGAGGGAGGTGCTATCAGAAATGGCCACATATTGCAATCGGTCTGAAACATATGATCGAAACCAGGCTAGCAAACGATCACCAATGTCTAAGTTGTTATGTTTTTGCAAAAGAATGCCATGGTCTACTGTGTCAACGGCCTTGGCAAAATCAAGGAAAATAGCTCCAGTTACGTCTCCTTGTTCCATGCCAATTTGGATGTCATTGCAAACTTTTAAGAGGGCAGTCGAAGTTGAGTGATTTGGACGAAAGCCTGATTGATCAGGGGTCAGATTATTTGATCATTGCTAATATTCACATAGTTACCTGTGGACGCATTTTTCCAAGATTTTTGCCAATAACGGAAGCAATGATATCGGGCGATACTTAGATACCACTTTTATGGATAGGTACTACTTTTGCAGTCTTCCAAAGTTTGGGGATGCATCCTGACACCAGGGATTCATTGAGGGTAGTGACAGGTTTAGCAATTGCTGGCGCACTGAGCTTCAGCAACATTGCTGGGATTTGATCTTGTCCGCACTGGTTTTTCATTTTTAAATTATTAAGATGTTTATTAACGACACTAACAGACACAGGTCTAAAAATGAATTTCTCTATAAGAGGATTTTGAAGATTTGGCAGGGCCTGCTCTTTATTTGTGGTCTGAAAATGAGTGTCATTCATTATCGAAGCAACCAGGGCGGTAGCACATCCAACAAAGTAATTAGTAAAGGCATTTGCTACATCTATGGGGTGCTAAAGTGTTTGGTTGTCCATTTTGACAGTGGAGGGTTGGGAGTGGATTGTGAGGGTTTGTTTGCTATTTAGGATTTTCCAATAGTTTATTGGGTTTGATATGTTACTGTTCAAATTTTCACTGAACTATTGGGCCTTTGCCATTTTTAGTGTATGGTACTGGAGATGTTGCAGTGTAAGCATGCAGAAGCCAAACACAGAGATTTGGACACAGATCTTCAGGAAGTAACAGGCCTTTATTCACATTACCGATCGGGTCTCAGATGAACTCCTGTTCCAACATTCTGAGAGACCAACACATAGTGTACATTCCTTATATAGCACTATAACTCCTCCCATTAATAGCTACACCCACATATACCTTTAACCAATCAATGAGCAGAATATAGACTTGTACATCTAGTCAAACCACATGGCCCATCCAAGACAAAGGAAATAAGTGCAATTTCAGTTCCTGCATTCCTGCACATGCTCAGTACACTGATGACAGTATCCTAGCTACATGTAGCTAACCAACTGACACAACATACACATATGCCACATGGAAATCTTGGCCTACTAAATTTTAACCATGCTGGAATCCCATCACATTCCCCCCTTTGATGCCTCTGATATAACATTATTCCAGATGCATCACCAATCACAGTTTTACCTACATCTCTCAAGTAGCCATTGATCCAGAGTAGACCTTGTAAGCATCTTAAAAACTCCTTCAACATTCCTCATCCTGAATATATTCTCTTTGGACTAGGGGATCATATCTATAGACAGCCATTACATGAGCCGCTGTCTTTCTCTCTATAGTACTCTCTATAATACTACGTAGGGACCTGACCACTAATGGAATTAGACAAGGCAGAAAAAGACATAAGAATATAATAAACACTACTCCTCCTACTAATGTCTTAATTCCTCCAAGCTGCTCATACCAGCTTCCAAACCAACTATTAGGATTATACCCATTCCAGACCTGAGTCGGTACATGCGCAAGTTTAACCATGTGACTAGTGAGTTCAGCCACTGCCTGACCTTCATCATCTATATGCAAACAACAGTTGCTAAGGTTAAACTTTCCGCATACACCTCCTTCCACTGCTAATAGATAATCTAAAGCTAATCTATTTTGATAGATGGCTGATCTCATCCTGGTATTTTGCTTAGCTAGAAGATTAAGCGCTTGAGCTGTCTCATTAGTAATAATCTCAACCACCGCCTGTAGTCTAATAATGTGGTTGAGCATATATATCGGAGTTCTATATCCATAAGTGCCATCTTCTGCCCAAGTAGCAGGTCCATAATAATTAATAATACGTTGAGGGGGCCACTCATCATCTTCCCAACTACCTATATTCAAGGATGCTCTCTTCCTTTTATGATTTACATCGTAAACCTTAACTCCCAAGGTCTCTCCTGTCTCAATTGGCAACAAGAAGAAGGATGGCTTGAGCATACCTAATACACATGCCCCTTCCCAATCTTGTGGTAACTCTGAATAAGCTTTCCTACCACAGATCCAGTATAAATTTGCTGGGGCTTTCCAACTAGATGTAGCAGATAAGTCAAACCATACCTCCTTTAAATGAGTGTAATTGGCAAACGGATTAGTAGGCTCCGAGACATTTGAAGCTGACCACCAAGTAGTATTTTTAGTATTAACATTATAGGCTTTTTGTCCCAAGCAAGTTAGCTCACCTACAGACGTGTTATACATTGTCCCTTTCCTGGCTATACAAACATGACCTATAATGGAGGTTTTTAACCGCCATTCTGATTTACTTCTAATATTTACTTGATGATCAGACTGGAAAGGTATCTGTTGTTCAGAGGTCCACAAAAAGGGATCATGTTCTGTTCCTTTCACAGCTTCGTATAGAGGTTTCGCCAATATTGCATAATTAGGAATCCATATCCTGCAGAATCCTGCCGCTCCTAAGAATTCTCGCACTTGTCTTCTATTCTTAGGTATAGATATCCGACACACTGCTTCTTTTCTTTCAGGTCCCATCATTCTTTGACCTTCGGATATATGGAATCCTAAATATTTAACAGTTGACTGACACAATTGTGCTTTCTTCCTTGATACCTTGTATCCTGCTTTCCATAGAATATGAAGCAAATCATAAGTGGCTTGTTGGCATATCTCTTTAGTAACAGCTGCTATCAACAGATCATCCACATATTGAAGTAATACACTTTCTCCTGGAATGGACTTGAATTCTTGCAAATCCTGGCTTAATGCGGATCCAAATAGGGTAGGTGAATTCTTGAATCCTTGAGGTAGTCTGGTCCAGGTCATCTGACGCTTTGAACCTGTAACAGCATCTTCCCATTGGAAAGCAAAGATATGTTGACTCTCAGCAGCAATTCGAAGGCAAAAGAAAGCATCCTTAAGATCTAACACTGTGAAGTAGGTTGCCCCACCTGGTATCAAGGCAAGCAGATTGTAGGGATTGGGTACAACTGGGTGTATACTAACTACTGCATCATTAACTGCTCTCAAATCCTGTACAGGACGATATTCGTCCGATCCTGGTTTTTGAACAGGTAATAATGGAGTGTTCCAGGGGGAAGTACAGAATTTTAGGATGCCATACCTTACGAACTTATCCAAGTAGGTTTGTATGTTTTCCTTAGCCTTTTGGGGTATGTGATATTGACGTAGGCTCACAGGATAGGCCCCAAGTTTTAGTTCAATATGTATGGGTGGGATATTACGAGCAAGTCCTGGTGGATTATTCTCTGCCCATACTCCTGGAATGTCAAATAAGGATTCATCACTCTTAGGGTTAACACTTGTCACTATGGAATAGAAGCGCCATTCTTCTTCCCTTGGCACCGATATCGCCATTATGCCTGGTAACCCCTTAAACTTCAGAGATGTTGATCCATTAGGTAAAAAGGTTATCTGGGCTTGAAGCTTCGATAATAGATCTCGTCCTAAGAGTTGAATCGGGCACTCTGGCATATATAGGAACTGATGCTTCACCACATGGCCTCCCAGAATACAAGTGCGACTCTTAAGAACCGGTCTAGCTGCACTTCTCCCAGTAGCTCCTATCACAGTTATAGTCTTTCCCGAAGGCGGAGCCACCATCTTAGTCACCACAGAATGTTCAGCACCTGTGTCGATCATGAAAGAACTTCTCTTTCCCCCTATTGCCACATCGACCATAGGCTCCGCTTGACCAAGGGGGATGGAGCCCGGTCGGTATCAATAGTCTTCCATGATAGTGTCAGCCAGACCCACAAAATCTCTATCCTCTCTTTCTCTAGGTCTCTGCGTGGGTGGATAGTATCTGTCTCCTTGAACACTTCCTCTACTATTCCCACCATTCCCTCTAAAACTTCCTCTTCCTCTATAACTACCACTATAACCTCCTCGTACCCTTCTCACTCCTTGTCTATCACCTTCATACTGCTCTGTCTGTGGACACTCACTCTTCCAATGTCCCTCCTTTCTACAATACGCACATTGATTCCTACGTAGAGGTCCCTTGCTCAGCCCATTCTCGTCTCCTCTATTTACTTCCCTTCCCTGTCTTTCTACACTTGAGATAGCTACTGCTAGCATATCTGCCTTTTTCCTCATTTTACGTTCTTGCTCCCACTTTACCTCCGTCTCCCTATTCATATATACTTTATTTGCAATCTCCATTAGCTGTATTATGGACATCCCTACAAATCCATCTAATTTTTGTAATTTCCTTTTAATATCACCTTGGGCCTGGCTGACAAATGCTGAATTAATCATCCTAGAATTCTCAGGAGCCTCTGGATTAAAGGGAGTATACAACCTATATGACTCCAATAATCTCTCATAAAAGGTACTAGGTGACTCATCAACCTTTTGCAACACCTCAGCCGTCTTTGACATATTAATTGCCTTCTTCCCTCCTGCCTTCATGCCAGCAATTATGGCTTCCCGATAAGCCCTTAGGTGGGGCATGTCAGCACCATTCACGTCCCAATTTGGATCGACATTTGGATAATGGGCTGCAGCCCACGCAACTGGATTGGCCTGATTTTGAGTACGGGCTGTTTCCTCAAGCGCTTTAATAGCCGCTTGATTAATCCGGGTCCTTTCCTCACAATTAAATAAAGTTAATAATAATTGCTGGCAATCGGCCCAGTTGGGATTATGTGTTTGGATAATAGAAGTAACCAAATCTGTCATGACTTGAGGTTTGTCAGTATATGAAGAGTTATGAGTCTTCCAGTTGAATAAATCAGTCGTAGTAAAGGGGACATATACAAACACTGGATCTGCCCGTTGTATTTGGCCATTCTCATCCACGTGAGTTGGGCCTGGTGTAAGTCTAAGGGGCATTTGGTAATTTCGGGGTTGGATGCTTCCAGTCATCTGTCGGGTTAATATGGGACTACGATATGATGATTTCATAATGAGTTCCGGTCTAGGGGTAGTAAGGCAAGGGGAGTGAGGCGGATTAATTTTACTGGGCGGAAGTTCGGTTAACAGGATATTACGGGCAGGGCTAGGAGAAGCCTGACCAGGAACCAGAAGTGATGTCAGTTCCGGATATATGGAACTAGTGGAGGCCTGTACTGGAAGGGGGGGTTTCAGAGCTAGTGGGCTGGGCTCTGAACTAGATGCATGAGTGGGCAGGGACAATGGAAAAGGGGGAGTAGCAACACCAGTAGCACCACCTCTAACCTTAGAGGAAGTGTAAGGGGGTGGGGAGGGAAGGTCAGTTTCAGAGGGGGAATCTAGAATGGGCGGAGTTGCGGCCCTGATGGAGAGGCGAGTCCTGGCCACCATGAGGCGACATTGCTCCTCGTGGCATACCTTAACCCATTTAGGCAATTCTTCTACAATCTGTTTCCAACAATCAATATACGGAAACTGATCATAAAATTCAGGCCTACTAGATACAGCCGCATGCACACGTTGTACCAAAATGAAATCAAGGCTACCACACGGTGGCCATGCGGTCACCAGGATAGGCCACTCTCTACTACATAAGGTAGTCAAACGTTTTGGGGACAATTTTACCCCATAATCACAGGCTTTATATCCCTTTGTAAAGTTTTTCAACATGCATGACAAGGGATCAACAATCTTTGAATCAGATGCACCCATACTGGCAATGGAACGTCTATTACAAAGATCCACAATACTTCAAACACTTCCAACAATCACACTTGTTTTCCCGGCAACAGTACCACGTGGCACGGTTGCTAAGCCAAACATACACACACACGATAACACGCAGAGAATTCTCGTTCATACAATGATATCACAGCGTCCCACTCACAAAGATCTACCAAACACTAGCTACTTACCTCTATAACTATAAATCGTCTCTACAATTATCCGTACTATAAATCAACTTTTGACTAACCAACTATATCACATTCTAGTAACCTCATCTTTACAGTCAGTGGTTATGGTACAGTTAGTAAGTGGTTATAATACAGTTTTAAAGTCACAGATCAGTTAGTAACAGTTATGGTATTATACATATAACATAAAACAGCAATTATTAGTAATTTTTACACAATGTCAGTGGTTATGGTACATGTCAGTAGTTATGGTACCGTGCGCTATTTTACAGTTATACACACAATTTACACTCCCACTAGACAGCAGAGCTCTAACTTTCTAGTAGGACATACAAGTTAACCAATTCACCAACTACAATATATTTAACAACATTTACAATAATCCCAACTATTCTAACTGGCCAGCACCTCGAGAGCTTTCGATCTATTTATACACCAGAGATTCGATAAGTTCTTCGCTGCCCAGACACCACGTATAGCGAACTAGAGGGCAGAATTTACACAGTACCCAGCTAGTCTATTAAACTATCAATAAGCTAGTGGCTGGATTTACAACAGAGCACACTTAGTTAAGATAGGGTGAAATCTAGCAAACTATAATATACAACAGAGTATGCTAGTCTCCCGGTCCCCCCGACCTAGCGAACAAAATTTACACCCTAGATACGCTAGTCAAGACAGGACACCGGTGTCCGACATGAGCTATTTACACCAGAACTCAGTCTGACCCAAACCACCTATATTAGACGGGCTGACTACAGAGCGTCTAATTTCCAGATAAGTGTTGCGCTTTTCACTTCTTCCTTCTATTGAAGGGGCCAATACCAATAACCGGTTCCAAATATAAAACCCCTTGTGGGTCTACCGCTCTAACGGTATCAATCTTACCTGTTAGTCCTGGACCTGGGTTCACTCATAGACGGAACAATCTGGGACTCACTGCGCAGAAGCCGATGATCTCCTGGACAAAAGGCCAGTGGCGCCGAGACGAAAGGAGGTCCACGCAGTAGAAGTCCAGGATTGTAGCGTAGAAGGTTTGGTAAAAGTTTACCGTCTCAAATCTCTGCGCCAGCTTCCATGCAATGAGGTTCCCGGCCACAATGCACCAGAGATGTTGCAGTGTAAGCATGCAGAAGCCAAACACAGAGATTTGGACACAGATCTTCAGGAAGTAACAGGCCTTTATTCACATTACCGATCGGGTCTCAGATGAACTCCTGTTCCAAATGATCTGAGAGACCAACACATAGTGTACATTCCTTATATAGCACTATAACTCCTCCCATTAATAGCTACACCCACATATACCTTTAACCAATCAATGAGCAGAATATAGACTTGTACATCTAGTCAAACCACATGGCCCATCCAAGACAAAGGAAATAAGTGCAATTTCAGTTCCTGCATTCCTGCACATGCTCAGTACACTGATGACAGTATCCTAGCTACATGTAGCTAACCAACTGACACAACATACACATATGCCACATGGAAATCTTGGCCTACTAAATTTTAACCATGCTGGAATCCCATCACAGAACCATTCAGGAGTCTATTGAGATAATGAAATTCAGACTTTCTTACATCTGCTTCTGCTGTTAATACAAAAGAAAGCACAAAAAAAAAGTCTGAAACTCATTTTACATTTTGCAACAAACTAGAAAAAAATGCCTTCTTGCCCCCAGATTGGCAGTCAGATCTCTCCTTGATTCAATAAGCTGTTATACCACGTATTAAATATTATACCCCTGAACATTATGTTTTGTAAGAAGCCAGTTTTCTAGCTTTGTAAACTACAAATACCTATTTTCTTCTTTTATTTTTGCACACAACCCATAAAATACTTATTTAATTGCTTTGTATATTCACCCTGGAACTTGTGCCAATCTGCCACTTCATGATGGGAATCTTCCCATTCTTCCAGATGCTTTAATCATTTCTAAAATTGGAATTGTCTACACAGAGTCTAGATAGATTGTGGTCTTACAAAGGACTCAGACGATGAAGAAGTCACAGCTTACAGAATTTAGATTAAGACATCCCCAATATTATCCAACGCATTTCATCCAGCATTTTATCCAGGATTTAATCGTGGTCATATTTTAATATTTTTAGACAAGCTTTTCATCATTCACACAGAATATAATCCTTCACATTTAACACATTGCATATTACCTTGAGTCTCATTCACCCTAAATGTCTGCAAACATAAACATTCATGACTTTCAGAGGTCAAAACCAGATATCCTAAATATTATTATGTATACAATATAACTGACCTCCAATAACATATATCTCTCCATTCAGAGTGGCACTGGAATGGTTTGTCCGTGGGTTAATCATAGGAGAAATGGGCTTCCATATCCCCTCATTTAACACAAAACGCCACCCCTGCCGTGTAGACCACGAATCATCCCGAGATCCACGGGAACCACCTAAAAAAGAGAGATGGAACCTTAACTTCTTGCTTCTCAGTCATAAAGGATCTATCCATGCAGAAACATATCATAACAAAATAATGGTATTTCGGTTAGTGGTCCAATTGCTTAAACAGGTTGCACTCTCAGAAAAGTACAATAAATGTGCGTGCTCTACATTCTGAATTTCAAATTCTCTTATATGTAATCAAGGTGTCAGCTCTAGAGATACATAGAGACAGAAAGTGGAAAGAACAGAATAGGGCAAGCTTCTTATTCATTTAGATTATTTCTAAATATGAAATGTGGATTATGATATTTAATGATAAAAAAACACACTGGTATACCGATAACCTAGTCTGCTTTAAAGTTATCACCTTCCATACTGTATATACCATGAGGTGTGTTGTTTTTTTGTTTTTTATTTCTTCTTTTTCGCTTGCCTATTTGTTTGCTTCTGGGTATATGAGCAATCCAAGGAGAGTAAGAAAAGTGAAACTAATAACGTTACTTAACATGGATATCAAGTTAGTGCCAAGATATGGCTATCCCTCATCCAGGATATATGGGGTACACAAGACGCACCTGTGACATACACATCGTTGTTGAGTGAAGTGATGGAGAAACCCCACTTATTATAATCTGGGAAATCAGGAAGCGACATCCACATTTCTGAGAAAGACGGAAGAGACATTCACAGAGCGCTTTAGTGGGAGCACATAACATTTTGATAAGGTTACAAAAGACTCATGTTTACCAATTTCACTCCATGTGTTGTTAAATATATTCAATCTTGCATTAAGTAAATAAACATTTATTATATATATCTTCTCCACTTAAAATCTTTACTATTTGGAAGTCTCCTGTCCACCATACAAACCATTACTGTAAGAAACTGGCTGCCTGTCAACCATAAATACCTTTATAAAAACATTCACAGCATTTACAAAAAGAAACAAGTATTGTTTTATTTACCACCTACACCTTTACTCTCATATTTAAAAGAACAACCAAATCTAGAGACCACTGACCCACAAAAATAAATACACCACTTACTTGTTAACTCTATGGCAGATGGAATATAAAAAAAAAAGGTAATTGTTCATAATCATGATAACACGTCAAAAACAATGCTTTCTTCTGGACGGTAATACATCCAGACCAGAAAAATACTTGAGAGTTGGACACCATAAAGTCGACATGCGAACCGCATAGACAGTGGTTAACCACCCGGTAGTTATGACATCCAGTTGTACACCACTGACGGTCCTGGAGTTACTTAGGTGCACCTATTGTCTGAAGTTCTTAATTGTATAGGCCCTAAACAGGCTTGTTTATTACTGCAGTGTATTACTTGCACTTTTTTTCTTAGCCTTAATTTTCTATAACTGCACCGTAACCAACTGGTCCTCTGTTTATTAATGCTAGCAATGATGTCAACACTGTTACCACAATATTGCTTTATTTACTGTCATTGTATTTGGCACTGTTTACCACTCAAGTTTAAATAAAGAATGTAAAAACTTAATTATCAAATGCCAGCATTCCAGTGGGGAACCATATAACTAACACATTATGAGTGGAGAAATATTGATTCCAAGCTTTATCAAGAAATGAGTGCTAAATAAAAAAAAAATCAATTGTCTATAACTGTGGTGGCATGCACAGGAGCATTTTTTGGCAAACCATTCAATTACTTGTCTGTTAGTGTGTTTTGTTAATGCAATTGTACTAAAGCTGCCATCCTATCACATGAGGAGTTGTGTCTCAAAACATTTCAATTTTAGACTGAGATACTTACTAAGACCTCAAATTAATATGTATGGATAAACGTATAAAATACATTTTCAGAACCATATAATAGATAAAAACATATACAAATATAAAAAAAATATCAAAAAAACAAAAAATATTATATATATAGTTTATAAAATATTTTATAGTTTTAAATATATTTCAAAATATGAAATAATTTGAAAAGCTTATCCAAAAATATAAAATTGGTTCATCTGTTTTTTTATATACTTTATTCATTATTATTTCATTTGGAGAAGAAATAATATTGAAATACACCTTTCTATTTTTAACCTCTATAAAATATTACTGTTAAACCACAATTTTAATGCCTGCTACAGTCTGTTCCACATGTAACTTGGGCCTCGATTTAATATTTTTGGATAAGCTTTTCAAATGATTTCATATTTTTGGATACACTTTTAAAATATTACAAAAACATTATACAGAAAAATATAGAACTAAATAAAAAGTATCCATATATAAAAAAATGTTTTCAAAATATTACAACATTTCAAAAGTTTATCAAAACTATTAAATTGAGGCATTACTGTTCCAAGGGGAAAAAAATAAAAGATTTTGAAATTCGCAAGATATAATTATGCATTTATACCATCTCCTGGATGATTTGGATTGAAAAAAAAAAACTAACATTTTTAATTTTAAAAAGAACATTTGAGAGTAATAGCTTTATCAATAACAACCATTAAGGTGACAATGGGCACTCTTGCCTTGTACCTGTTGATAGCATAAGAAAACTCTCCATTAACTCTAATGCAAACACTTAGACTTGTAAATAAAAACTTTATCCAAACAGTAAATTTTCCACAAACATAAAGAATGAAGTTACTGAATTTAGTTCAGTTTCAGTTTAGTTTGATTTGCCTCGTGGACAACAACAAATATAATGAGGCTTGCTAATGCACAAAATATGTTACTAAATGCACAGAAAGTTACATTTTTTTTCTACATTATCATTAAGGTAAACCATAGGCCTTCTTAAAATAAATAAAAATCTATGATGTGCAAAACCACACTCTAATTTCAGTACACTGTTTAGTGCACACCTATAAAATTGAAAACTGTTATCCCATGTAAACTACAGCCTTTCAGAGGTTTATGGGATAAGTAAAAAGCATGAGCATGATAAAAAGCAAAAACAAAAAAAAACACTAACAGCCATATACAAAATTGTTAATAAACACATTTTTTTTAGTATATATGTAATATTACTCCTTGGAAGTAAATACTTTGGTCTTTTACCTTTTTCAAAAAAATCATGTTAATCAATTTGGGTCATGTGACCTATGATGTCACACAGCAGTTATTTTTGAATTTTCCTCCCTTATTTAAAACAGCTCTGGTCCTTCCTTCTGTAAACACTTTTGAGAAAGCCATTGTATGGTGAAACACGTTAAGTGTATTTAAATATTGTTTTATATAGTTCTTTTACCCTATTTTTTTTTATCATTTATTGTTTTTTATCAATAAAAGTACTTTTTTATTGGACCTGTTTGCTGCTGGATTCCTGGACTCCATATACTTGGTGGGGATAATACCACCTAAGTCTGTTGGACAGAGAAATCCCTATTTGCTCTATCAAATGTGAGTAGTTTTTATCTATTTTATTTTATCACTTTTTACAGTCTACACTATTGTGGTTTTATTTTCTCTTTTACTTATATAATCGGAGAGAAACCACCAGCACATATATTCTAGAGTGGAGATCATACCACTTCACGCCATACCTGTGGAGTCACTCTATAGGCTTCAGTACATGTGAGTGCACATCTTTTATAACTATATATCTTAATATTGAGTCTGGCGTATTGCATTATGTATCTATGATTTTTCCTACATATCTACAAGAGAAGCTGCATCCACAAGAACATCCTATAGAGTCTGTACTCCACCATCTCCTTAGGCGGGGATTTATTCTGCCCAAGCGTTTAAGTTTGAGTTGCACCTAAGCTCCTATAACATGTGAGTGCATATAATTTATCTACCCTCACCTTACTGTATTTTTTACATACTTCACTATCAGTTTCCTATTTCTTCTCCTTTTTATGGTTATATATACACACTCCAAGGACATTCCATGCGCTGCACCTCCTTCTCTGGTGTTTTTTTTTTTTTTTATAAATTCTTTATTTATAGTATTTCATATTTTTTTGGGTGAGTAAGAACTGGGGTTACAGAACACAAAGAGGGAGGGGGGAAACAGTACAGATACAATATAGCCTCTGTTATCATTAGTAGTGACATTTGTGCTATTAGAGCAAGCAGTTTGATGTACATATGTTGGCTTTGTGATATTTTTGTTGTGCCAGTCTTGAGGACTTGTGGTTTCGGGTATCCAAGATTTATTGTTCGTGGTGTTTGACTTCTTGGTAATGGTGGTACCCTCATTGTCCTGAGGTCTATTTGTTAGCCGAATTAGGAGGATGGGATTTTCTTGGATGACGGTTGGTTGTGCGTCTACTATTGTCCTCCTGTATATGTATGTCTTTGGGGTATTATATCTTGGGGAGTTTGTGTCATAGTGGGGGGGGTAGTATTGGATTTTTGGGTTTGGGCGTCTGGTGTGGTGGTGCAGTCCTAGTTGGCTGGGTGTCTGGGAGTTGCGGTAGGTCTCAGTGATGGAAGGTTGTTTTGTGTGTGTGGGGCGGGGTGCGTGGGCAGTGGGTGTGAGGTGTTCTAATGTGTGGGTCTTAGGTCTTGGTTTAGGAGTGTTTCAGTTTTTGATGGAATGGTGGGCGGGAGGTGATCGTTGTTCCTAACGCTTTTTTCGGGGGCGGATGGGGCCGTCATGTTGGGCTTATGTAGGGTGTCTGTGGTCTGTGTGAAGTGGTGGTGTGTGGGTTGGCTCAAGTTATGTTCGTTCTGGGGGGTGGTGGGTGTGTGCTGGGTATCGGGAGTCTGGAGGCGTATGGGGTCTAGTAGCGTGGTGGTGGAATGTGGGGGGTAAGGTGGTCTGTGGTGTAGGGTGGAGATGTGGGAGGGGAGTTAAGGGGGGGAGGGGTGTCGGTTTTTAGTCTGATTTGAGAGGGGTGTCGGTGGTAGAGTGTGTGGATGTGGGTGGGGGTTTTTACTTCTTTTGGGTTGTGGGTGGGGTGGTTCTGGGTGGGTCGATATGGTGTTATTTCTCTTTGCCTCAGGGATTGGGTGTGGGTAGTGGGAACTCATAAAACCACGGTTCCCAAATTTTGTTATAGGTGTTGGTGGAGTCATGGACTATGGCGGACAGTTTGTCCATCTTCCTAGCTTCTTCTATTTTGCGCATTACTGTATGCATTGATGGTACTTCTGGTCTGCTACAGGCCTCTGCTATGGCCCTTCTGGTCGCTAGGGCGATTTTAGCTATTAGTTTATTTTGGCATCTGGGGGTGTGTTCCTCGGGGTTTTGAGAGGAGCCATGTCCATGGGTCCATTGGGATGGTGGTGTGTAGTATTCTGGATGTCATTTGTGTGATTTGGAGCCATAATGAGTTGATTTAGGCACATTTCCACCAGACGTGGAGATACGTGCCTTTTTCCCCACATTGTTTCCAACATACCCAGGACATACTTGAAAACGAGAGAAATCTCAATGTATCTTTCCTGGTAAAATATTTTATAAATAAATAAAATAAATAAATAAATAGGTCAGAGTTGGAAATGCCCATTTGTTTGAACCTGAGGGGGGTGAGGTACCATCGCATTAGTGTCTTGTATGCTTGCTCCTTATGATTTGCACATATGGAGACTGTGGCCTCCCATATGGCATTCCAGTCAGTGGGGTGGTCTGGTGGCCCTAGGTCCCTCTCCCAAGCCGACATATATGTGAGTGAACCATCCGTGGAGGCAGTGATTATATTTGTGTAGAGATTGGAAATTTGACTTCATTGGATTGGGCATGTCATGCAGGTTTTTACAAAGGGGGTGAGGTTCGTGGTACTTGCTTTTTTGTACGTTGGGGTGTCTAGGAAACTTCGTATATGGATGTAGCGAAAGTGGTCGAATGTGGTTAATGGTGTTTGTTGGGGTAGGTCTGGGAAGGGAAGTAGTGCGCCTTTTCAGTAGAATTGGTAGAAACAGATAAGCTCGTTAACTTGTGAAGTTTCTGTTTTGTCTGAGTGTTTGCATGAGGGGTTCTAGTGAGAGGGCGAAGAGGATAGGGGAGAGGGGACATCCCTGTCTCGTGCCATTATGTATTGTGAACGTAGGCGGATGGGTAAGAGGCAGCAAGAGGTTGGCTGTGGGGGAGGCGTATAGTTTTGTAGGGCGGTTATAAAGGGTTGTGGGAATTTAAATTTGCGTACGGTATCGAACAGGAATGGCCAGAGCAGGCGGTCAAACGCTTTTTCTGCATCGAGCGACAGTATCAAGGTGGGGATTTTGTATTGTGTTGTGGTCCATATGAGGTCGTAAGTGCGCCTAATATTGTCGCAGGCTTGCATGTTGGGGATGAAGCCCACCTGGTCTGGGTGGACTAATTTGTGTAAATATGGGTTTGGCGGTTGGCCAGAATTTTAGTGAATAATTTGATGTCCACATATAATAGTGAGATGGGACGGTAGCTCCCTCTCTGTTTTTATGAGATAAGTTGTTTATCCATGAAGATGAGTTCCATTACTGCATAGGATGAATGGAAATACTCTGAAAAGGTCATGGTCTCTGCATCTTCTGGTCACTGCTATATCTGCATTAACCAGTAATGTGTGTTTTTACTATATTATAGAATACTCTTTGCCCTAGGTTAGCGTGTTGGAGTATATCTGACTTGACAACATTACACAATGACACAATTACACAAATGTATTGAGATACATAACTGTGAAATATAGGACTTATTATAGGATTGCGGTATTGTGGCATGCCCACTTTTCAACCTGAATATCTAAAACACTGAGATGAACAATTACTTCTCCAACCTCTCTAAATGTCCTGCCCCATATTTTACATACTGTTTTTGGTATTGTAGAAGGTAAAGTTAGGGGAGGTTCTGGGTGGTGAGTCTTCATCATCTTCATCATCATCCTCTTCTTCCTCTAAAACCTTTCCACCGACCACCACTAAGACTTCCTGAAGGGAGACCGATAACTGCTCCGTGGTTTCCTTTGTCACCTGAATGACAAGAGAAAATATGAACTGAAAAATAATGCTTGGGTATAAATAGCAGTCTTATAGCAAAATTAAAAAAAAAACCAGAGGAATCATCATAGAAACTAATTAAATGTTCTGGTGATTGCTGAACTTTTTAAAATTTTACTCCATAATAATGTTATGTATTTTCGATGCAAGTAAATACCATAAAACCATAGTACCCGTCTACAAAACCAAAGAAAAAGAAAAACTCAAGGAAAAATATTTATATTACACACTAGTCTAAAATTGCTAACTATCTACAATTCCATTTACTGTGTCATTATTATAATCCTGTCTTTATTCGCCTTGTATATCACTCTGTTTAATCATTCAATTTTACATCTATAATTACCAGCGCTAACACTGGTAACAAAAGAGTGACAGATGTGAGAGGTGACACACATTTGAGAGATAACAGGTGTGGGAAATGTGACACGGAGTGTAACCGATAACCCCCAGTGTGTGAAAAGCAATACAGACAGAGAGATTATCAAAGTGTCCGGTGATGGTTCTGCTAAGTGATATGGATGTAAGAGGCGGCAGGTGTGGCTGGATACGCCGGTGATCAAACAGGTGTGAGAGTTGACTCTGTAGTGATGCGATACATTATGAGGCTGCACAGGTTCAGAAGGTCATTATATGAGTGAAAGGTGACACAGCAGTTAGAAGGTGATTGCCAGGTAAGTGTTAAATCCTGCATAAGTCAACCGAGATAAAAACATGCCACAGTTTAGAAAACACGTGTGAGACACGATATGCAGTATACATTACTATGACACCTAAGTAAGTAGTCGCGTTGGTATAGGAGATAGGGTGAATTAACCCTTTTACACTTAAGGAAATAATAAAAAAAGTAAACCACGGAATGGGAAGATGGGCATTACCGTTTTTTCAGTGGAAGGAAGTAAATGTGAAAAAATACAACTTATCTACAAAATTAAAGTAAAAGGGACATTTTAAAGTCCTTCTTGTATTTGGAAATACAATATGAACAGCAACACAAAATAATCAGGGATAAAATATTGACATGCTGGTTACAAAGGACATATTTGGCAATAGGCCTAGCAGAGGGTCTGTTTGATGGGAAGGTATGGCCAATTGTGCAACCTGGACTTTTAATTTTGGAAAGTCAGCCCTGTTAGAAATGCTGTCTAGCTGGGAGTGTAGATCCCTGTATCTTGCTCCTTACATCAACACCACTATGTTACAGACAATGTGATGCAATATTACATCATATTCCATCTTCTTATGTCTGTAATACAGAGATAACATAGGACATCTCTCCAGAACATAGAAAAAAAAGGGGAGAGGGGAGAGAATTGGGGGCACAACCAGAAGATGGATTTCTCAGCAGTGGTGCTGCTGCAAAGACTAAAATATATACGAAATGCAAATTAAGGAACAGCGCCTACAAAAATACAGTTTTAAATTTTACACAGCTACTTAAAAATCACCTATCTCAGCAAACAAATATGGGAGCTCCTACAACAGATTCATTAAATACACATTAGTTCATTTAGCACTATTTGATTTATCTCCCATATTAAAATGAGTGTAGGACCTACCAATATTGGAGAATGTGGTGGGCGTAACACAATATTCTCATATTTGTTTGCTAAAACATGTGATTTTTAGGTAATCTTGTAAAATCTAAAACGTTATTTTTGTGTGTGTGCTGTTCCTTAATCTGTATTTTGTCTACCTCTCCAGAATATGACATACAGCATGTTGGCCAGACATGGTGGACAACGTGAAGAAATTAACTATTTTGGAACATTAGCAGCATATGAGTGCTACTGTGGAGAAAGGAACTTTTGCATGTTATTCCTGGTACTCACCTGCCCAAGACTCCTGTTTATCAGGGCTTTGCAAGCCTCAGACTCATTGATTAAAGGCTCAGCATCCATCAGCTCCTGAAGGTGGAGGTCAGTCAGGGTGGACAACCTGGCCATGCTCAGCAGCTCTGGAAGATATTGGGCCCTGTATTTCTCATCTTGTCTTACCCAGTGAAGCACTGCCATTGCCCGGTTCTGCTCTTCCCTTACTTGTAGTAAAGGGTCCCCCAAATAACGAATTAGGCGATCTGGAGGTAGAAGCAGAAACTCCTCTTCCTTGGACACAGCTTCGAAGTTCTCCTGCAAAAAGGCCCATGCTTTGGCTGTTACCTCTGGGCAACCATAGGTTTCCCCAAATTCCCAAATACCCAGACAATTGGTGGCATCCATCTGCTGCTGCAAATAACGACTGCACACTTTACGTACGGCTGGAAAATGAAGAAGATTTGAGGTGCGAATAAGCCCTTCCACATTACCCTGGTTAATGGTGAGTCGCCCAGTGTACGAAAAGTCAATTAGTGTCTCCATCATATCAGCATCCACCTCTTTGATTTCTACATGAGCAGAGATGCTTTCTTGGAATTCTCCTGTGAACATAGCATGGAAGTACTGACTGCACAGAGCAAGCACAGCACGGTGACAGGGGAACTCACGACCTTGGACCATCAGTGTGACATCGGAGAGCTGAGGGTTGAAGCGCAAAATCTGAAGTCCAGAAAGAATAGAGTCTGAGTGTGAGGGGAGGCAGAACTCTAAATCATCAACGTTCCTCACCATTGTTACCGCTGAAGACTGCCCAACAGAGAGAAAACCATTCAATGCAATCTCTGCAGAGGAGAAACAGATTTCAGTCAACACCAATAATAATTTATAATTTTATCATTTTAATTTTAGACTCCAGCCTGTCCTGAAAACCTGCATGATAATGGAAGACAATACTATAACTGTCTTAACATAATATTCTGAAATTCTAGAACAGTGTTCTACAATTTGAAATGTGGACAGAGGACTAATAAAGGCCAACGTCCTTCATTTTAAAACTGAATACTGCTTTAATAAGCCTACACTCACATTATTTTATAACAAACTACACAACTGATTAGTAATTTCCCTTACTTCAAAACACTAATATTACTATGCAGCATGACATAATGTAAATTTCTATAAAGTAGCTCCCTCTAACATAGTTTGCAAACAACCCTATCCTGTTTGGTAAATGGCATCTTAGAGGTGAGATTAAGGAGAGATATACTTACTTCAAGTACCCCCTCGCTCTTGGCACCATTTTCTTTCTTACGTTCCTGGTGTGTTAGCCATGAGGAGCCCCAGTGACTGCCATGCTCTTGCATGCACAAGAGCACATGCATTAAAACTATGAAGAAATCTATGGAGGATCTCGCAAGACCTCTCTATCCTCATCCACAAGAAGCCCATTTTCCATTGAAATTCCCATACAGTCAAAACAATGTATTTCAGATATATTTTCTATAAAATACTCAAAAGTTATATTAGTGTGAAAAAGCTGCTAATAAAAAAAAAAAAGGTTTGTGGACAATATACACCTACGGGCATAACTGTGCATCTAGCACAAAACGCGTTAGGCTGCTGTCCTGGCGGTATGGATTTTAGGTTTTTTTCCCCCTTTATATAGGTGTGCTGTGTATTTGTACCATTTTAACATGCTTTTTATAAATAAATGCTACATTTTATTTGATTATCATTTTGTGAGCATTTTCTTTCCTACAGTTTGATGGCAAATCCACTCTTTATACCGTATATATACCGGTCTCCACTGTCTTTGGACAGGTAAGTGTTCAAAAGTGCTTTTTATTTTTATTTACTTATTTTATGTTAGCTTGCATTTTGACGCAGTCCTTTTCAGTTCCATGATGTCTTTTCTTGGACGGTCATTTACAAAGGATTTAAAAATTTGCTTTACTATTACACTCACATCAAAACATACATGATTCACTCTCATCTTCATGTCAGCACTCCCGCTCTCCTCTACAACCTCATATGTGCCCTTCACTATTCTTCTCTTTTCTCTCCATCTTTCGATGTCTATCTCTTTCTCTCTTGTTATATTTTGTAGAAAGTTATGTTCTCCCTATCTATCGTTAGAATATCAAGTTCAGGTGTGGCTAGTAGGTACATCACCAGCTGTTTCAGAACTCCCCCCACCCACAAAAAGTCTTAACATTTTGAAACATTTAACCATCATGTATATTAAAGGTATTGGTGTAACATCAAAAACAAAAAATACGAGAACTCTGCGAACGGACAAACGTTTAGAGAAACTCAGTAGCTTGCCCTTTGGTTAATACCTGCTCAAGTCTAAAAATCATTTTTCTCCCTTGTGCCATTACGGAGAGAACATATGCCGTAGCAAATCAGACTGATCCCATACTTAGAGGCAGTCCAGAACCGAAATGCCGGCAAGTTCTCTCTGCACGAGAGATACAGCAACCCCAGACAATCTTTTCAGCCTCATCAGTGAGGTGTAGCTGATACCCCTCTAGTAACAGTGAGGATGGGGTCCATGTCTGGGTTACCCTTTTAACTTGGTTATATTACTGGTGTAACATGCAGTGAATGTACATCTTCAGACTGCACAGATGAATTATTGTGGAGGTGACAAAACTGGATACATATCTGCCACTTTCTAACACATGGGGAGATTTATCAAAGCATTCTATTGTTTCTGCTGGTTTCCATGGTGATTGTCATATATTTAGGAATTCAGGCCACATTTTGGAACAGAATACTAACTCATTGACAATTCTGACAATCTCAGGCATATGATGTGCACAAAATGACTACCGTGTTTGATTCTTTGACAATAATGAGTGAAGTCGTTTTATACAGCAAGATGCATACTCCACTCAGAACATCTCTGCATGTTTCAGGCAGGTACTTTTTATCATCATGTTCTTGAATTGTGACCATGATGACTGAGGAAGACATGTCAGGTGTTGGGGAATATAGGTCAGGGTATTTCTCAGTGCACGCTCACCAGTTGCCAGGGATACAACTTGATTCAAACCATTAGTGAAGACGAGGAATGTAGATATGATGCATTTAGAAAATTAGTTTTCTATTAAATGAACATTTATTACATCATGTTCAATATCTTAGTAATACATTGTGTGCTTGTTAAAAGTGCTGATGCACATTGACAGCATCGCATGTTGGCTTGCAAGGGTATGTCATTCACCTGACCTGAAACATAACGCCTAACCTAACATCTGCACAAAGCTCTTAAAGCAATATCCTTTAAATAAGCTCTAAATCCTACCACCCTTCCCCTGATGTTTAATTAACCTAGTAAGCAGAGCCTGTGAATTTTGACTTCCTCACTCTTATGCAAGGCCTACTTGGCTGAGAAAGCTGGTTGTTACAGTCCAAAGTATTGTAGGAGTGCCAAGAAGGCATTGAGAAATTAAAAATCACCTAGCCGACCTCAAAATGTAACTCTCAATGCAACCAATCCCTACCCTATAAGTGTTACCTCTAGCCATAAAACCAATACTCTAGTATAATCCTAGACAATAACCTCAGTGCCCATAATCTTTAGCCCAAACCTGCCAATTAACTATAATTATTTTCTGCTTCACTACTGTTACATGCCGTAACCCCTTAAAGGGACACTAAAGACACCCAGACCATTTTATTTTGACGCCCCTGTTGGTTTAGTCCTGCAAGCTAAAACATTTAGTAGATACAGCAATGATTTGATTGCAGGTCTAAACACTTCCTGGCAGCCACTAGAGGGCGATTCCATAGCAATTGTTGAGTTTGACTTGGTTTTGTGATGTTTGATGTTAAATGCTGATCATAGAGAAGCATAGGATTTAATGGTCCTCTATGAGAGGCACTGGATTGAATGAGAAGCCAACTAAGCAATGCATGCAGGACGATGTCACCGGTGGCAGAGTGGGCAAAGCACTGAGTGAGTCTCAGCGCTGGAAAAAAGGGTAATTAAAAACCTTTTTTCCCTTTTATTTTATTTATGGGGGCCTCTGAATCTCAATAGGGAGGAGAAAACTATAGCCTATGGAATATTTGTATATTTGTATTCCTAATACTATAGTGTTCCTATAAGGAGGAAATGCTAGACTTTGCGATCAACACAATTTGACAATTTGATTCCTGAAGACCTTATGCCAGCATGGAATGTGCTGCTTATTTAACTTAGTCAATTCTGGACAGGCCTGCAGTCATTAGCCAAGTGAGAGAATCTGTTCTGAAATAGGATTCTTAAAGAACAGATTGCCATAAAAGCATCAACTGTAACTGGACCCTAAAGAAGCACTCCACAATCCCCTGGTCACAATCTCTGGTAAGGCGTTAGCTATAGTGGTTAAAGGAAAATTGCGAAAAATCTGAATTTGTTTTTGCTGAATTTGGTTGGTAGTGACTGTTCAGTAGGTAGGTTTTCTGTTAATGTTTTTTCATAGAATGATGAGATATTGCCTCGGCCACTTTTCCCCCTTTGCCTGGTGTGTTCCGTCATATTGAGAGATCTTAGTTCGGCATTACACAATTTAAGATAACTTTCGATGATTCAGCACTGGGCACTAACTCAGTGATGACATCACCTGCTTTTGCGAGCGCACAGCCTAAATGCAGCTTTCAGTTACAAGGATCACAAAGTAATCTGATTCTTACTCTCTTCTCCAAAACGCAGAAGAGAGTAGTAAACAGATCGCTTTGTGATCCTTTTAATTATAAGCTGAGCACTTAGTGATGACGAGTGATGTCATTGCTGTTTCAACATGTAACACCCAGGTCAGTGAGAGTGCTCTTGGATTGGGTAACGGCTGATTCTTACCTTAGATCAGTCACAACGACTGGACAATGGAGGGTAGGTGAAAGAGACAAGTAGAACTCCCACAATGTATGCCTTTAGAATGTTTTAGGATGACAAAGCATCATGGAAACTGTTTAAATACCTATGGGGATTTGCCTTTTGGGCACCCAAGGTGTATATTGCCTTTTTCAAATAATACAGATGCTTTGTTTTCCATGCAAAACTATCAAAATATCCTATATCTAAATTTGACGGCTAGATAGCTGTATTGAAGATAATCTATAGTCCCCCTTTGCAATTAAAAATGTAAAATAACTAATGATTACTTAACTCTTTTAAGCACCAGAACTCCTTTGCCACAGCAGTTTGCTCTGCATTTGAAGACGTCAGCATGTCTGCTAATGTCTTACATGATCTCCTCCAATCCAATGCTTCTCGTAGAAAAGCATTGGAGTGGAGATATGCAGGTCCGGCTGTATATCACTCTCCTCCAATCAGCCGCATTTGTTTCCTGGACCAAGTTTCACTTGGTTGTTGATCAGGAAGCATCTCTAGTGGCTGTCAGGAAGACAGCTACTAGAATTGTATTTAATTTTGCAATGTAAACATTGTCGTTTCTACAAAGCTGCCATATTTTACATTGCAGGGTTAAAATGACAGGACCACTGCACCCAGACCATTGAGATGGACCGGTCTGGGTTCCTTTAGTAGCCCTTTAAATTTAGATTAATTGCACCATTTGCCCATTTGAGTGTCTGGATCCCATGTATTTTTCTTTTCTTCATTCCTTCGATTGTAAGATCATGTTAAACTGTTCTGAGCAACAGAGATACAGTTACTCGGGGAAAGACTCAAACGCTCCCAGCTCAAAGAGTCCCATCTCTGATAAAGCATCACCTCCCACCTCAGCTACCTGCCATTGTTTGTGTCACTTGTTTCGTGTGCTCTCAATACTGCCTCAGCTAAT